GTAAGAAGGGGAAAAATCAGGAGTGTTTGTCCGACATAACAGTCAAAAGTGCGATTATCAAAATGTCACAAGTACTATGGTGTGAATTCCAATTAACGTCGAGTTAAAATAATAACGGAATGTTTTTTCCCCCGTAAAATAAAATGAAGGAAAATTATGAAAGAAATGTGATTATTCAGTGCAGTGAAGCGGGATGTAATTTGGGCAGGAGATGGTGAGCACTTGCAATCTGTTAGGGGTATAACAAGATGGCTGCGGCTTAAACATGCCTCTCTCATGTAGATAACGCATGTATCCAAATATTTAATATTGTGAAAGAGGAAAAAATGTCACAAAGGGTAAATTGTTAACTTCTCTGGCACCTGCAGGAAACAACAAGATGCGCCACATGTGCAGAGAGAAAACTTATCGTGCGCACTTTGGCCAACCTCTATACCAGAGCCATAAAAGGGGAGCAGTCCATTCACAAGAAATTCCACAACATCTGTTTGGTGTCACACAATAAGGGAGCGGGGGAGTGTACAGGCAGGCCAGCTGAACTACTGCTGGAGGTTCCGCCAGGGGACAGGCTCCTGGTATGGAGGAAGAGGGCGAGGAGGAAAAGGAGCAGAGGCAGAGGTGGAGATTCGGGTGAGCGCCAGGTAGGTTTGAGGCCCTTTGGAGAGCGGCCAGGTAGGTTTGTGTGCTTCCAGATGTTCAGGAAGAGAGAACCTCCGCGACAGTTTCCCGTCATGCCCCCGAAAGCCCAGCTGCGTTGTGCACCGGAGGGTCCAGAGCAGGAGCGTGGCTGGCCCAATGTTTAGGAGGTTAAGTAGGAACGCCACTGGATCAGATATGGAGGATGAAGGTGTGGGGGTCGCTACTGGTCTGCACAGATGGCATGTATGCGCGCGTAAAGGCGTGTGCGTGCGTGTGTTATGATAGGGTTGGATGATGCCCTGGTCACATGGGCAGCAGTAATTGGCCTCCATATTGACCAGTTTGCGGCGCTGGGGGGCGGGCGGTCTCCCAGCTGGACCTGTCAGATGGCATCGCATCCACCTCACTGATCACTCCTCCACGGACGACCTCCGAACCTCACCCCCCACACACCCCTTTTCATCTTTCTTCTCCTTCCCTTCATCCTTCTATCTCCACCACCTTTAATCTCGCCTTGCCCACCTCTCCTGTCATCACAGCCATCTTCATTTCAGAGCTCCTTCTCACTTCTAGCAAGAACTCTACAGGAGCACCAAAGGAGAAGCAAGGAAGATATCTTTAGTTATCATAGATAATTCAGCTTTCATTTTCAGAACTTTAATAGATCCCCAGTGTTTGGCAACATTTTTACTGCATCCCTTGGATCAACTAATTGGGGTCTCACAGTAGGTTTTAGGGAGTTTGGACTGCACAAATTTTCACAACTGCAGCAACTCTGGAACTGTTATTTATCCTTTTGTAACTTGTAGCAAAAGTTTAATTAATTCTAAGAGTCATTGGGTCCAGTCTTAAACTTTATAACTTGACAATTCCACACTATGTTCTTTCTTGATTGTGTCATCTTCCTCAATGCAGCAAATCACCTACACAACATGATACTGCCACCATCACTCTTCACAGCTTGGGATGGTATTCCCACATTTAGAAGCCTCCAAAATTGTGATGGGATTTTTCAGTGCTTTTATGATACATGAACATTAACGGCATTTCTTGGTATCAGTCGTAGCTTAACATATCGGTATCCATCCTATAAGTAAAATTGTGTTCATGTAAAATGTAAACACTTTCTGTTACTGTATTAAAATGGCAGAGAAATTAGGTAATATTTGTTTATATTGGTTATTGGGCAGTACAACAATTTTAATATTGCAATACCAATTTTGGTCTGAAATCTTCATATTGGTGCATCTGTACCAGGCTGGTATTCTGTCATTTTTGAATGTGTCTGCTTCAACACACCTAAGTTAAATAATGAGGAGGTAATTCAGCCATTTGATTCAGGTGTTTTGAACCAGGGACACATCATAAAGTTTCAGGACCCTGTGGCCTCTTCCTTCCTGAATGGCTTATTTATTTTTTTGCTTATGCCAATTGCAGAACTCATTACTGTGGATAATGACACTCTTTCTGACCTGCTTTTGCCAGCATCTGATGGCTGTATATTCTGATGATGTACACATTCATGCATAGTTTTATTTTCACATGACATCAAACAAAAAAGCTGTTCTTTTCATGAGTTTAGAAATCTGTCAAGAGGTGATATAAATAACTTTCACTACCTATCAGAATTCAAACAATTATGTAAACAAGAATTGATCAAACCTTTAATCTGCCTTGCTTCTGAAGTGCATTCGCAGTCTTCTTTGTGTGGGAGCTCAAATTAAAGCTAATTTTAAAGCTGAAGGCTGTAAAGATTTGGCATGCAAAACACTTTTTATGAATCAGATTAAAAATAGTAAGCCGTGTAGAAATGTGTTAAAATCACAAACTGGCACAAGAATGGTTTAATTTGGCCAATTAGCAAGCAAACAGGGGACATTTGATATTTTTAGAAAACATTAACGTTTAATTGCTGAACACTTTGAAGTATTTAGTTTAAGCTATTTGCATCAATAGTGTGGGACAGCTTAAAATATGTTTTTTGCAATAAGGGCAAGCCCAAGGTGGGATGAGGATAATAAATAAACTTTAATCTGAAGCCCAATTGCTACACTAGACTGAATAAGTGAAGGAGAATGGGCTTTTTCACAAACTTGCTCATTTATTCTTGCAGTCAATTCATTTAGTATTTCAAAACAAACTCAAAATAGCTTGAAAAAAGGACCCAAGTTCAACTACTGCGGAAACTTTTTAATTAAGTATGGAATTTAAATTGAAATTCAAAATTGTTTTCAATCATGTGCCATCATAATTCCCCAGTAGAGACATGCTTTTTTAAAAGTATGGCTAAATGTGACAACATGCAAGAACAAAACAAGTTGTGAGACTTATAGTGCAGTCAGCTTGTCTCAGAAATCACAACTTAGATGTTAGAATATCAAATGGACGTAGCACAAGTAAGAAACCCAAAGGGATTTGTTGGTACTACTGCACTTATAGGTTCCACTGACAGCATTTTTTTCATGTTATTTATCCAGACTCTGCACATCTTTACATCCTGTATTTTTGGTTTATAAACATACAAATGGATAGGAGTTCAAATAAGTAGTTTATACTGCAACTTTGTATGTGTTTTATACTCACAACAACCATAATGTAATAAATGAAGAGGCGCTATGGCTACAGTTGGTATCTCAAGACTTTCTTTTTGGACCTCGGAAAATTTGACTTGGTTCAACACTGGGATATATTGTGTGATGACTCCAAGCCTTTTGGGGGCACCCTGCTGCCCTTGGGACCTAATGCAGCAACTTAGTTTGCTTATGCTTCTGGCCGGCTCTGTTTGCAACAGATCCCTGCATGTCTAAGTGACTTTTGTACCCTGGTATCACCCTCCCACCCACTGCAGTGGCGGTGTGTGCGTGTGTGTGTGTGTGAGTGTGTGTGTGTGATTTGTTGTGAGACTCCCGGCTGTGAGGAGTTTGCGCTAAAGAAAGGATTTTCATCCCAATCTTGGCAGGGGAGGGTCTCTGGGTAGGTAGAGAACAATCGTCTCTCCTTCACTGCTGTCAGCCAGAAAACACAGAGAGCTGGCACACACTCAGTGAGAAAAAAACAAAAAGGAGCGGGAGTGACAACAGGGATGGACACACACACACGCATGCACACGGGCACACGCAGTCAAACACACGCAGTCACACACACTTGTACACGCAAGTCCATTCTTTGCTCACAAAATGGGTTCTGATGATGCCTTCGGGGATTGTGGATGACAGGCTGGTTCTGCAATGTGGATGGGAGGGCCTCCATGAAAACAGTCCACAAAATGACCACAGTGTCTGCCTGCTGTCAGACTAAAGGATACACAGAGTAAAGAAAAGGTGGGAGGAAAGAAAATAGAGAGAGAGAGAAGAAAGCAGCATAGTGTCTGCCATGCATGAACTTCTGCCAGAGAGCACTCACTGGAGAGGACATGTTTAAAAGGTCCCGCACCCTGATCTGAACAAGATCTGGTTTTTTCTCCTGACATACAGGAGTGTAACATGCATGTGTGCTTTTATGCATAAACAGAAAAAAATAGAAGAGGAGGAAGATGGTGTGTGTTTGTGTGTAAGGAGGAGGAGAATTAGAGAAGGAGGAGGAGGGGGAGAAGGAGGGGTGCACGCTTAAATTCTGTGACATCTGTTCATTACAACTAGAGTGTGTTTATTTTTATATAGCCAGCCACAAGCAGAGAACTCGACTGGCACTGCTGGTTAATGTACCAGCCTGCTAATACGGTAGGGCAAATGAAATATTAACAGAGGAGACAGAGAGGATGAGGAGAGGAGTGAGGACAAATGAGGAGAAAGAGGGGAAATGATAAGATAATATGTGACAAAAATGCACATCCACACACACATTGTCTCCATAAAAGTCCCCGTTCTAGTCTCATTAAGGAGACATCAAAACATATCAGCAAGGGGGAAAAACTCCACTACTAAAAACAACTGATGTGCTGCAGTGAAAAATTAGGCACATAAAATTAGTTCAGATCGGTGATGAAACAACACAAATGATATTTGTAAAATTTCATCAGAAAATATCAAAAGAGAGAAAGTTTAAAATACACAAGTAATTTTATGTATTTTGCAACAGACCCAAATCCAAGTGCCAATATTTTTCATTCAAGATCTGAAAACAATGTTCTCTGCATCAAGTCTGAATGAGTTTGAGTTACTTCGCAAAGAAGGATGGTCAAAATATAGGTGTGGAAAGCTGGTCACAGGAGGAGCAGTGGCAGTCGCTTGTCTTCAACCTGCTGCAGCAGCACTTCATGAAAAGCATGAACAACTGCTTCTAATCATCCATCCAGGTCTTTGCATCAACAAGCTCTTTCCACTGCTTTCCCCCCTTGCTCCTTCCCTTCAACTGCCCCCACTTCCACCTCTACCCAGGCCCATCTCTCTCTCGCTCTCCCCAGGGACGACCTGCTCTGGAATGGCGCTCATGGGGAAGAATCTCGCTGCAGGCGGGCAATATGTCACATGTTTCCCAGAGATGGAGACTGGGAGCCAAACAGAGGTGTGACAGGTATGTGTTTTTTTTTTTTTTTGTTTTTTTTTTTTTTGCGGGTTGATTGGGTCTGTGCCTACATGTTTGTGTTGTGTTGTGCATGTGTGTATAACAGATTCCCAGATTGAAGGTTTAAAGGGTGCAGATTAACAGGCTGAGGACAGAGAGCCTCCCTCGGAGCTGAAGGGGAATTAAGATGGCATTAACGTCTCTTCTGCATCGGCACATTAGCCTTTCATTACCGTGTGGTTGCACAATCCATACCAGGTAATTCCCCACATTCACGACAACATTGACATGTTTGGGAGTTTTGTTGCTCACATGCCTTAATCAGAGGTATAATCTAATAGTTGAGGAACCCCACTTCTGCTGTATTTATATGTTTTGATCTTCAAGTCCTTTGCTCTACTTATGATCATTGTGAATTGAAATCCAGTGAATTGAAATACATGCATTCACAAAGATAAATTTGTTATTTATTTGTGTTGTCATTATATATGTGCTTCAAACTCAAATTAGTCTGGATAAGCTTGGACTGGGTCACACACAAAACCTGTGACAAGAATGGGAAAACTCATAATTGTTAATTTTTTTTATAGTGTTACTCTAATAAATGAATTTTTATTCCTATTTGTCTTTTCATTTCAGCTATAGATCTTCTTTTGAGGTCAAAATATCAAATGGAAAGCAAATGCTCAATTAACAAAAATAAAGACAGTGCACTGTAAAACAACTGAGTTGTACAGCTGATAGTTAATTTTCTGTGGTTTCTTTCTTATTAATTTGTTTTTATTCAAACGTTTCCCCCCGTTTAAAAAAACATAACACTTTCTGCAAAAGACACAGAAAATTTGGGTGTATCCCACAATAAAAACAAAGCTTCCTGAAATCAGAGTTTGGGAGCTGCTCTCTTTGAGTTGTGGATGTGATTTCTAGCTGCCAGAAAAGCCAGCTGTTCACTGTGAAAACTCACTGACCTACCTGCCCACAGACACAGCTAGAGTACCCACATGGGAGTTAAGAAGCAACAGTTTTAAAAGTTTCTGAAAATTATTCAGAGAATTAGATACAGGAAGTTATTCTTTTTCATTTTGAAAAAGAAGTAGATCATCTGCCCTAAAAGTAAATAGGCTGCATTTGTAAAGCACTTCATTAAGTATGAGGACTCCAAAGTGTGTTTAACTACAATCTGTCATTCATCAATTTGTACAGTGATGGGCGTCAGGTACAGTGTGGCCACAGATGCCATGACAAAGTTATGATTGCCACAGGCAATAAGCATAAACATGAGAGTTGCTGCATTTATTTTTAGAAAACAGGAGCAAACATTTACCAACTAATGTAGAATATCAGGCTCTAATTTGCTAAGATGCCTTAAAACTCTTAACTGCCAACTTCTTGTTGTTTTCCAGTTTGGCTGCATGTGCCAAGAGAGACGTGAAGACGTGGATTGACACACCATGTCTTCCTCCAGAGCCTCCCTCCTCAGCATCACCAGATTAACGGATTAGCAGGCAAGGCGAGCACTAAAGCTGGCTAATTCTCACCCAAGCACATAGAGCTAAAGCTACTCAGAGCCCCACAGAGCCTCTCTCTGCTCAGAGCAGCTGTGTGGTGGAAGGAGGGACGGAGCTTCTTCCCTCTGAAGAGCCATGAGGAACAAAACAGAAGATTCACATTGTCATTCATTGGCTTGTTTTGTGCACTAATAATTATTTTTAGTACGCCATAGTATACTGTTCAGACAAAACAACTTTTGTGATTTAAGATAAAAGTAATACATGGGCTTATGTTCTAAATATTCTGATTTTAAATCAAATTTATGCATATAAACTGAATTCTGTGTGTACATTCAGATAAAGTGGTGCTAAAAGATTATTTTATCTCTCAGCTTAACCTTATCCCTTTCTTTCTGGTAGTTCCTCTCTGCTGCCTCAAATTATTTGTTTGAGAACATTTATTGGTTGGACCAATGCTGGGAACTCTAAGAACTTAAGTATATTTAAATACCTAAGAAGAAGAAATTCATATTTACAAAATATGACAAAGTTTTTTGGAGCTATTTATCTGTGAAAGACCAGCCGTTTAGCAAATTGCTACACTCTTTCTGAAGAATAGCACATCTACTTTATAGCTCAACAGCGCCCCCTAAACTCAGCCTCTCACATCAGTTTCATTCAGGTATTTTATAATTGGTAGTTAGATCCATAGACCAAAAAAGTCTCTTGAAAATGTGCCATAAAACCACCAAAAAGGCTACTATTTTGTACAAATTTGTCAGACTATGCACTGTTTGGATTTTAATTAACTACTCCAAGAAATTTTGTAGTATTGACTTTGTATTTAGTTAGCATCGACTAAAGGCACAGGTTTAAAAGTTAGGGAAAATGCTGGAACCCAAACTTTGCCTTCTCTCCATGACAAACAAAATGCCGTATATGTTCAGACAGAAACTAAGAATTACACCAAACTTGGTGTCATTGATGCACATCCAAAACACAATAATACTGCATGGTCACAACCTGAGGTCTGCAAAGCCTCGATCATTGAGAACATAAAGTCACATGTTTTACTGGTTCTCCTCTAATATGTAACCTCTTTACTTAAACTCCTTCAAACTGTGTCAGATAGCAAGTTTCTAAACAAAATAAAGCGTTATCTAAATACTTATTTTTAGTGTTATGTACAACTATTTATCCTTTGATCGGAATACATTCAACTCTGTAAGCAGGCAGATGAAGAGATGTAATACTAAATATTTCAACTTTCCTTCACCAGCTAGATGACTGAAAGTTTGATACAATGAGAGGCACTGGCTTTGACTCACTGGCTTTGAAGTGGATAAAACAGGCTGAAATTAAGCTCGTGAAATGGCCTACTCAAAGCATGACTTTAAAACTGCTGAACATTTACAGTCTCTGCTTTAAAAATGCAGTTTCTGGGAGAAAATCCTGCTAAAAAAATACAATCTTTGAAAAGGAAGTGAATGTTTTCAATTAAATGGATTTGTTATGGTGATTACTTGCTATGTATAATAAAAAAACTGTTTAAAAGACAAAAAAAGAGAAAAGAGTAAAAAACACTGTTAAAGAACCACAAACTTGTGGCACCAATCCTAGGAAAATTATCAAAATGCATTATTTAAACAAAAATAAATAAATTAACTATGTATGTGAAACTGATGCACACATCTCCCCCCATTCTTGCACCACAAATAGTTATTTTCATAAGTATAATTAGCTATATTATCATAAGAAAACAAGATGTAATATTATCTTGTATGCTGCATAGTGTTAAAAAAATGAAAAAAACATTTTTTGGGCTTGCAGTAGACAGATTTGGATGTTTATTTATGCTAAATAGAAATAGACTGACACATGATTTTGAGGATTAACCCTTTAGGGAATAATTAAAACCACAATCTTTCAGGACAGCTGTACTATAAACCCCTAAGAGCAACCAGAATACTTCCATTAGGATGGGTAAACAGAACAACAACCCATAATTATCAAAAGTTCAACATTATTTCACCATCACAAAGTCAATAAAAGGCAAAACCTCTCTGCTATATAAAGTCTAATCATAAATCAATTTAAGGGTAAGTATTTTTACTTCAAAATTCATAACATGTACATGTTTTATCTTGAAACCTTTTCAGTTTTTGCTTTATTAGTGCAGTAGCTGCTGTCAGTGGGAAGTAACATTTCTCACTGAATAAACCAACACTGAGGTAAATAAACTAAAAACAACAATAAAATGCAAAGCTGCTCAGCTGTCGAGCAACATCATTATGAGTGTAAATGTTGGCTTTTCGCAGAATGAGATTCAAACTGTCAACTATCAATGCCAGCACCTTACCACAATATTTACTACTTCAAGCTACACGAAGGTCGAAAAGTTGGCGGGACTAGAAAACAGACAATGAGGCACGGGAACACGGCTTCCCAAAAGCGTTTCATCACGCAAGCACACAACCTCATTCATCTTGACTTTCGGTGCACTTTGGAGACCTAAAGCAAGCAAACGACATCCATCTCAGTCCGGGTTCGGTAAACAAGAGGAAAGGCGGTGAGAGGGTCCGCGGTTTGGGCACGCGCTCTCGAGCGGGCTGAGGACAATGCAACGCTGGCAGAGCCGCAGTCTCGTGCCAGAGGGAATGGAGTGCCACATGGTGCCCCTTTTGAGTGGGGCCAGCCCGGAGGGGGATGTGGACCACAATGCATGTGCACATGTGTGTTTGTGTCTCCTTTTGTGCATGCACTTGTGCGTGAACGTGTAAGCTATGCGTGACCATCCGTACATACCGTATCAAAAGAGACAAGGCAGATCATACATTTATTGGTTATACATGTAGGGTTTTTGTGTGTGTGTTAGAGTGTAAAGCTGGTTGTGTGGGTGCATATGTGAGGGGTGGGGGACGCTAAGGTGGAGCACAGGGTGTATGCGTGCGTGTGTGTGCAGAGGTGGGGAGGGGGAGTCCCAGTTCCCCTTTGCATCTTAAATTCCTCAACATCTGTTCAGCCCTTCTCTGTGCTAGCAGCAGCGGGTTGTGATTTCGATGTGTACGTGTTTGTGCATGTTTGTGTACGCAGATGCCCCTGAGTATGTCTGTTGCTGTGTTTGTGTCTGCCTGCATATGTGCATGCTCTGCTGAAGGTGCTGGTTGTTACCCGCACCTTAATTAGGGAGGAAAAAGAAGATTCATTTTCAACAGTACTTGCAGGTATTGTGTGGTATTCTCACAGTGAATACAAAGGGAGAGCCGTTCACCTGCGACGCCCCCTTGGTGTACTGGATTATGACCTAAATTACAACTCAAGTTCAAAGCTTTTGATCAAAAATCACAAAGCGTGTCACCCAATTGAGCCCAAAACTGCTACTATGTGTTCTGAAAGTAAAGCAAAGGTGGGGGCAATCTCCACACCAACCAAATCTCCCTCAATTTAAGACTCCTAAACACAAAAAAATTACAAGATGTGGGTTAGCGTTACCCTGCAATGTGCATCTGTGAGCACGAAACGACAGAAGATTTTTGGAATGAAATATTTACGTCCTGTGTGCCATCTCCTGAGTGAGAATTTCAAAGCGTCAACAGCTTTGAGGTCAGTAAACAGGGGTGGAAAGTACATTTTCTCAAAGACTGTGAACGGAATCCCTCTTTAGCATTTATATTTCATGATTCTTGACTTTGTTTGAGACGAAACAGATTTTACTCAGTGTCATGCAAAAGTATATACCTTTTCGCATTTTGCCACATTACATCCATAAACGTCAATAGGTTTAGGAAGGATTTTACGTGGTGGTACATCACAAAGTAATTCACCACAGTGAAGTGCGATAAAAAGGACATGTGGCTTTCAAATTTTTTCAATAAAAATTTTAAAAGTGCAACAGAAATTTAGACTCAAGACCTCTAAAAGATCAAGTGTACTCAATTGCTTTCGGAAGTCACTGTATTGATAAAGTCTAAATGTGTCTAATCACAATGAAAATGCTGCTCTATAAAGGTGACAAAGGTTCATAACAGAACATTATTAAACAAACATCACCAAACTCATTGGATATTTGGGGATAAACAATAAGCCAGCATTTCATGCAGCATGAGAGAGAACAAAACGAAAAGCAGAAGTTTTACAGCTGTTTCATTCATTGTGTTCTTTCATGGAGCTGGATGACAGCCTCCATGAAATGCTTCAAGCATAAACAGATGTTGAAAACAAATAGATGTTCTGTCATTGGTCAAATTAATATCAGTTGGGACCAATTTTACTCCATTAATGTTGTGTGAGGACATTTTTTTTATTTGTCATAAATACGACATTAATGCCTTTAACTATTCATCCAAGACAAGCTAAGGTTTTAGATCCTTTGTAGTTTAGATTTTTAAATCTTGATTTGAGTAAAATTTCTCTAAAGTAGTATTACCTTTACTTAATTGCTTTTTTATGTCTCTGCTTGCAACTATAGCAACAGAAAAAGAACATTCTGCAGTGCATTGACTCGATGGAGGCTGATTACCAGCCACATTTTCAGATTTCATTTGTAGAACTAAATATTTCTTGTATAATATTCCTTTCATTTGGCAAACGACTATACTACTGAGAAGTATTTTTGAAAAGTTTAGAACTAGGCATCATGTAAAGATGCTTTTCAGCCTTGCCTGCCTGTGTCATAAAAAGTTATGTGAAGCTCAAACTGCAGTAACAGTAACCTCTTTGACAGACACTAACCGTTCGGCACCCCTCACTAACCCACCGCCAGTCTTGTGCCACCTTGATGCCAAGTCTGCCAAACTTGTGTCACATTCGAACAGACCCCGTGTCAACTCGTCACAGTACATATGCCAAGTCGATGCCCTCCACATGCCAACCTCACGCTAAAGCCGTGGCAATCCTGAGACAACAATGTGCCAGTCGGGGACCTCTGTTTGGCCTGCTGTGTGAATCCCTCGGCACTGTGCGCTGGGGCAACACTGCGTGGAAGCGGAAAAGGTCAAAAGTCACCAGCAAATTAGGGTTCAATGACAAATCTGTTGATTTGGTTCTTCTTCAGTGGATGCAATTAGCAATGAAATCCAGCTCCCAAGCCCTGCTTAAACTCTAATCTCAGAATCTGTGGGTTCCCTCCAGCATGCCTGTCTACCAGCCTGTCTCCACCAAAGCCCCTCACCTCTGTCTCTCTCTCCTGATGCCTGCTGGCACTTTGGGAGCAGTGCCCCTCCAATCCCCGTACCATCCCCTCCCTCCATCTTCATCTTTCCCCCCAACCGCCCCGTCGTCCCCTCCCTCGCTCTTCCTCTGGATGCCAGCCGACGGCCCTCTCAGTGTGGCACGCCATCTGCTGCCTCCCGCCCCAGCAACCCATCCACCCCTCTTCTCAACGCTAACTCCGCCACCCCATCACCACCCCTGCAGACAGCAGCTACCCACAATCCCCTTCTTCCTCAGCCGTGCGGCGCATAGAACAGGAGGCTTTCACACAGATCACTTCACCCCCTGATGCCCCTGCCATAAAGGAGGAAACCGGGAAAAAGCTTGCATGTATGCGTGTGTGTGTGTGTGTGTGTTGTGGAGAAGGTGCGGGCCTCTTAGACAAAATAAACAAGGTTTTCTTTTCTGCATGTGATTTAAAACAATGTTTTTGTGCATGAATGTGTTGAGGCCCACTGCAAAACACTTGGTGCTTCATATTTTAGTAACATGCAGATTCACCAGTTACCAAACGCAAACTTTCGTTTTGAAGCGTCTGTTTTGCATTCTTCATGCATCAGAAAAAAATGTGTTTGCACATTAAATAACAGGATCTTTTTTTGTTTCACGCTTTATTTTTCTCTTTTCCATATTTTATAATTCTTGAACACAAGTCAAACTAGAGGGGGGAAAAAAGATGAATATTGAATAACAGATCATGAAACCTGTTTTTGGTTAAACTGCCACAGCCTTTTGGGATCTGACGACGTCTCTTGTGGCAAAGCTCTCTGATCAGTGTTTAGCTTTGGAGAAGCGAGCTAAAAAAGATTAGACATCAAACTCTAGGAGGCAGCGAGAAGGAGCGGCGCTCCATCCATCTTGTGTGAGCATGGAGCCTCATTCCTGGCACTCTATCCATCAATGAGCGCAACATTAACTCTCTGGATCAGAACCAATATCTCCATGTCTCTCTCCATCTCTCCTCCCCTTCGCCTTGCTCTGCTGAACACACACCAGCGTTCAGAATTGGTGTTCACCAACATTCTAAATTCAACCCAAAATCTCCCACTTTGCTGTTAAAAATAATCTAAATTTTGGATGGCTGATTATTTTTCCTCCTCCTATAAACACATCTAACGATAATGTCATCTTGGTTCAACTTCTCTTTTCTCCTCTCTGCCGAGCCACCCGATCTGCTCCTCTCTTTGTCTCCCTCCCAGTTGGTGTTAATAATTTAACTACAGAGCTGCTGCAGAGCTGGCACCGGTCCAGGCCTCCGATTGGCACTGTCTGTCTATTTATGACACTGTGTGGTGGCACACATGTGTGGGATGTGCAAAAGAAAGAGGAGGCCAGTGTGTGTACAGGTGAAGATGTCTGAGCTATTTTTCTTTCAGAATTCAACCAAGAACAAATTACCTTCCAAAACCACAAGAAACTTCCCACAAGTGGACAAAAAAACAGATTTTTATTGTTAGACTGGTTCACTGGTTCAGCCATTAGTCAATCAGAGACTATATATTTTGCTGAATGTCTTCTGGCTTTTAGTGTGTGGTAACGGTTGTGGGTGTGATGTTATTTTTGGGAACAGACAATCCAGAAGGACTCTGCAAATGCTTTGCATTTTGCACATTAAGCTTCAACAATTGTGTGATCATTTTAAGATGAAATTGTTTTTCTTTAATTTCGGATTCAATAAAGGTCATTCTCTGTATAGCTGTCGACCTCCTAGATAAAAAAAAATAAAAAAATAAAAAATTCTGAGAAAGAAATAAAATGTTTAGCACCAGAAACTGCAGCAGGGAAAAATAGTAATGATGCATTTTAAATGTACTGCAATTTTTAAAATTTCACTTCTCCATCTGCTGGGTCCAATAATCATGAACAGGCATCTGCACACTCAAATTTACATGATTTAAAATCCCAAAACATCGCCCTATGACAGCAACCATCAAATTTTTTTTCCCAACAGAGCTTTAGATCACTGTACCTCCTCCAAAGTTACCATGGGCCTTTTGCTTCTGTCATTAATCAGAGTGAGTAGATGACTTTGAAAAGCAAAACTGATGACGATGGGTTTCATTTAGGGGCACCAGAGTAAAGGTTTGCCATTGAAGTTCTACTTCCTATTTTGGCAGCACTGCCTGAACGATCAGCTCAGTCAGGCTGAATTCACAGCAGAATTAACCGACCTAGTGCTTGTCATCACCTGAGAAAAACTCCACAGATTCCGAAGACCTGAAAAATAAATAGATAAGTAAAGAACTGGGTGACGTTCCCAATACTGGAGGTTGACACGGTGTGAATCTCGAAGCCGCCTCCTACACCTCTCACCCTCCCACACTCCTGCCCATGCACAAGACATGTCAGCTGCAGAATCTGAGCAAGTTGCTCACGACGTTCTATTTAGTCATCCTCAAGCGCCATCAATCATGTTTAGAATAAAAACACCATCGTCTTTAATCATCATTGCCCATCATACTGAAAGACACTTGGAAATTATTGTGTCTTTTTTGTTTTGTTTTGTTTTTTTACAGAAAAGGTTTGTTCCCTGAGAAGAATCACGGTAAGATTCTTGACGTCTCGTGCGTGGAAAGCTGATGTGAATGAATCTGTTGTATTGCGTCGAGGCGCTTCCAAGGATTCATAGTAAACAGACATATGCAAAGCCGCCCACCACTCCACCTTATCTAAATCTGATATCTCATAAGGGCCCTTCACACTTGTCGGAAAACATAAACACGCCACGAGCGGCTGGGCGCGCGCGCACGGAACCTGCACTGTCATTAATTTCGGCGGCGGGGGGAGGTCAGCGTACCAGACGGCCTGCCTGAGTGTGCAAGCATGTGTGCAAGCTGGCGTGGCACTACAGCGGATGCGCACTCCCATGTATGTGTGAGTGCGCGTGTCGTGAAGCGGAGGGGAGGAGGAAGGACTGGAGAACATGGATGTGGCCGTGCACGCGCACACACCGGCGTTGACAGGTGGCTGCGGTAAAGAGGTGGTCCCTGAGCTGGGGTCTGCCTGTCTCTGGCTGAGAGAGAGAGAGGAATAAAAAGCTCCCAGCAGCTGTCGCCCTAATTCCTCTAACACGGTGCTTGTGCTCTGATTAGAAAACAGATCTGGCCTCTAATTTACTCATGACACCAACTAATGCTCTATATCTCAATCGCTCCATCCCCGCTCGCCACTGCATGGCCTGCCTGGCTGGACACAGACACTGCTGCACGCAGAGTGACTCAGAAGGCAAAGAGACGAGCCCAAACAATCAGCTGAGCGCTAAAGTGGCTTTACCTCCACGGATTATCCTGCAGTCTGAGAAGTCAGGAGTGTCGCTGCGTGCTGTCAAAGGTCTTCAACAAAACCAAGCAAATTCCAGACAGACAAATGATTTCTTCTGAAGCAACTAAAAGTTATTTTTTACAAATAATGATACTTTTTATGACAGGAAAAATTTTTTATTCAAACCAACACCAATTTCTCGGCCAATAGTAACTTTTTGTTCAGATTCACTGTTTACTAGCAAACTTAGAATCAAAAAGCTATTTAAATAGAGCCTGTTGCACAACACGAAGTAGGCTAACAGGTGTCTAAAAGCAACACATCATGTCCTGATCTATAGAAATGTAAAAACATCTGACAGACGAAAACCCTGACATCTGTCAGTCTGGGAAGAGTTACAAAGTCATGCATTTTAATGCAATGGGACTCCAGTGGACTGCAGCGAGAGCCTTTACCCACACATACAGAAAACATGGAGCTGTGGTGCTCAACCTTCCCTGTTGTTGGCTTAGAAAAAATGACTCCAAGAGTAAACTGACAACTGATCCAGAAAGGAGCCCAGATATGTGTCTGCAGGTCTCTCTTGTGTCAATTAAGGTCCATGTTTCACTAAGAAAGACACTTGGCAGAAATTACATCTGTAGAGGAGCCGTAAAGCAAAGATTATCCAGATCAAAAAGAAGGCTAAAGGGCTTTATTGTAAAATATTTTGACTTTAAATAAGCTGTTCAGGCCTGAAAACACATAGATGGCTAAATGTAAATTATTCTCCAAGGAACAGTGGGTTATATAGCTTCCACATTGATGCAGAAGACTCATTGCTAGTCGCAAGCTTTTGATAGCAGTTGTTAATCAGGGTGAAAAATCCAGGTATTAGGTTTCAGGAACTATTACTTTTTCACAGAGCGCCAGGTTGGAGAGTTTGCTTCCCTTAATAAATGACATAATCATTTAGAAGCTGCTGTTTGTAATATCTCAGGTTAACTTTGCTTCATCTTAAAATTTATTTGATGATCTGAAACTTTTAAGCTTCACAAAACATGAAAACAAAACAATTCTGTATAGGGAAAACATTTTTTTTCATAATTGTATTCCATTACCTCTGATTATGTTAAAACCTAAGTTTTTTTCTTTTCTTTTTTCTTCTTTTAAATCCCCTTTGGCCTGTAAAAAGGTCATGCACCATTTCTTTTATCCAAGTCTTTCATATGTTTACAAGATTGTAAATTATTCTCAGCTTTACTTCCTGGCAACTTTCTTGTCGTTAATTGCAGCAAGTGCTAAAATATTCATCAAACCTGCAGAACAGTAGCCAAAAAAGTCTTTGTAAAAGATATTAATTTGATGTTGGAGCATCTGCATGTGTCAGAATCTGTGGCTCTTCTCCAGCTTGTCAAGTTGTGAGTTGGGAAATATTAAACTGAGGACTGTAACAGGTCAGAAATTTAGGATGTGTGTGAGATCATCATCTCTGAGATAACGAGGATGTTGTTAGGGCTGAAAAACAAATGGAAAATTGTATGGTATCAGAGTATTTTAACAATAAAAACAATGTTTATTTTAATATTTATTTGCAGCATGTTTAGACAATATAAAGGGTTTTCAGGACCAAGTTTATCTTAATATCACTGAGGATTGGAGGGAGGGTAGAAAAATGATTATTGTTGCACCAAATAGTGACATCTTGGCATTAACAAATCTTCATAACCAGCAATCTATAATCCAAAGAAACTGTTTCAAAGGCATGTCAGGAAAAATAAAAAAAGGCTTTTCTTTCCTACTATCAAAAATACAAACATGAAGAGTTGCTAAATCCCTCTCTTTGATTTACTCTTATGAAATTAATAATGAACTTTCAAAAAACAAACATTCCAGGTGGAATGTTTTAAGACCTAAACTCACATTGAGCTGCTGAGAAGAAGACATCAGAGAGGATCCAGAACTCTGGCTGATTTAAAGATTGAGCAAAGAAGAAAGGTCAAAGATCCAGATCCCTCTCTCTGCTATCTTTGTCAACTATAATTTGAAAAAATAACAAGTAACAAAAACTAAGTGCTGAGAATATGGTAAAACTACTCATTTTAATAAAAACTATTTTTTAATTGTAGGACTTATTTAATATTATTTTTGCCCTCAATGTACAAGTTTGTCTACGATGAAGGTTGGATTTTTTTCTTCTATTTTGCAGTGTAAAATTATACTTCTGCAATAAAGCTAATTCTGTGTCATACATCAAGCCCTTACATATGCAAGGGCTGACCAAAGGGCCTTGGTAGGTTAAAAAAATATTGTGGCCAAAAATATAAACAAATACAGTATTTGAAATTGCAAAATAATCAGAAAACATAATAGTTTGAAGTTATCACATAACCTCACTCCAAAAAGAAAGCTTTGATTAAAAGCGTGACAAAATGTGAAGTTATGTTCCGTGGAGCCAGTGGAGGCGGAGGCGGCGTCTGGATGCCGTGACGCGGTTTGCCCAGCAGGGGGCAGAGGTGTGATGCAAGGAGTGGGAGGTGACAGCTCAGTGTCACACTGCACACACAGGGTGTCACCTCAGCAAGCTGGGAGATGGAGAAAAAAAGAGAGAGACGGGGGGGAGGAGAGGGAGAAAGTGGACAGAGAGACAAAAAGGTGAGAGATCGGCCTCAAGCTGCGCGCGTTTTTTTCTGCTTCTATCTTTGCGAGGACTTGAGAGTGAGAGGTTTTCTGACCTGTCTGAGAGCTTAAGCTCTGCTAAAGGTTCAATATCCAATTTAAACTGCAAATAAAACATTCTTACAATCTTATTTTAATCTGATGGTGAACTTATTAGCTGTTTATTTCACATAAATAAAAGGATGTTGTATTTATTAAGGCCACAGTGTAATTGTTTATATGTGGACTAGTAAAGCATAATAAAGCTATTTTGACTGGCTTATGTCTGAGTAACATCATAAAAAAGCATCTCTGAGCTTTATTTTGAAAAACAAATGCAGTCGCTTTTTTAATGCCTTGGTTGGGTCCAACCAATAATGTACGGTAACTATCAGGTTTTCTTTGAAAACCTGAAAGTTTCCTTCTTGAATCTAATATTGGCTTTATTTTGAAGAGTTAACAATGCCTTTGTCATCATTGGCTTGATTATGCTAGTAATGCAGAACCTACTGCATTTTAGCAATAAGCTAAACCTTAGAACATTGAAGATTTTATTTGGAAAAATATCTGCAAGCTTTATTATGAACTGGCAACTAAATCTAATTTTCGGAAGTGACATAGTCCTATCAGAAATTAGAAATTTTTGCAGGAATCTATTCAAAGAAATGTTTCAACTTCTATTATGAGTAGCTGATCTAAGCTTAATTTTTAATTGATTCTTACGTTTTCAAAAAGAAATCTTTTGGCTTTTATTTCCAAAGTACTAAAAAAGTTGTAACTCTTGATCATATGTTTATGCCTTCATCCTTTATAATAATAATAATAATAATAATAATAATAATAATAATAATAATAATAATAATAATAATAATAATAATAATAATAATAATCATAATCATCATCATCATCATCATCATCATCATCATCTTAAGCAACTGTGATTTTCAAACCAATTTCATTAATTGCTGGAACACTACTTACCGATAAATCAAGCTGAATTGAATGTAGAGTACACATTCATACTTTAGGGTTATGAAGTGGACCCCTAAAGAAATTCTGCCCAGGGCCTCATATAAGCTTGGGCCGCCTCTGATAAGAGCTAATGCATCCATATGTTTTGACCATTTTAACTATAATCCTGAGAAAAATGAGAGTGAACTTTGTAATTCACAACAGCTAAGATACTGTTCTTTGTGAAAGTGACTCATTTAGTGTGTGTGTGTGTGCATGTGTGTGTGTGCGAAATCCTTTCCACATCCTCTTTCTTCTCTCTCTGTCTCCTCTATTTTTCTCCAGGGACTCACTTGGCATCACTCCCTACTTTTTATTCTTGCTCCACAAACTGCTGGTGTCTGAGCACAGGCTGGCCGAAGACACTCCCACACACACACACACACACTCCCACGCACACACGCGCACACACACAATTATTTTCTCCTTAAAAGAAAAGGCAGTTACACTGTTGAACTTGATAAAGCACCAAAATGTTACCATCACTTCGCTGCCATCTAAAATACTAGAGAGAGGAGCTTGTAAGCAAATAAAAGTAGTGTGGACAACACAATATATGTTGAATCCAAAGAGTGTACCCAAAGAAACATACATATAAAGCCTGTGATGCCTCCCAAGACACACATTTTCAAGGAGAGAGTAACTGAGCAGCACAGAAGTAGCATCATCTGAACTTGATACAAATCCGTATTGAAGGGAAGTACACAGATGCACATGCCGGATGAACCCCTAAAACATAAACAAAAACAAAAATCAAGGAAGTTGGAGAACATGCACATCCCACATTTATTTGTTTATTCTATCCCCATTTACAGCTCTTTTAGTTTGAAACCAGCCGTATACACAAACACACACATACTGAGCTTGGAGCTTTAAGTTCTCCTGCAAAACATACATTACACTGACAGGCAGACAAGGCAGACATCAAAAGCAAGAAATAAATAAATTAAACAGAAGTATGATGGGGATTAATTAGTAAAACGAGGAGATAGAAGGAGACGCAAAACAGGAAGGAAAGATGGAGTTTGGAGCTGAAAGAGAGGAAGCAGAGAGGGAGCCGCGGTGATCTTTGGAAGGAGGCTGGAGGTGCAGGCAGCAAGACTAAGAGTGTCACTTCACGTTTTACTAAAGCAGATGTGGCATGCAGCAAAAACAACCACAAAGAAACTTCTCACGTGTCAGCATGTGCAGGTTGCTCACTTTCGTGCAGGATGAGCCGGACCTCATTTTTAAAAAAAATACCCTTCTGAATTTTGTGCACCGTCTTCTCTTCATTATTTGGAGAAGGGCGTGAGTGTGAACACAAATATGCAAATGTAACGGTTATTATTGCATTGCTCATCAAGCAGCGCGAAGCAGACATTAATAGGCTGATGAATATGCATGTGAATTTGTTAATTAAGTTAATTATTCTGCTGAAAATGCATTCGTCTTCCAAGGACATCTTCCCCAGGATTCCAACCTGCTCTGCTCATTAGTCATGCGATATTTTACACTGGGCACCGGGACAAGAACGAGGGAGAGGAGGGGCACTGAGGGGCCACCGAGGTTAAGACGTGTACGATATAAGGGCATTGTGGGTTTTTGAGTCCACTTAAGAACACGGATTTGAGGGCATCAGAGAGAGATACGATGGCGTGGCGATGACGCCTAATCATTCATCCGCTCTTCCAAAGTGAAAGGTCAGCGAAAGAGACAGAGCACGGCAGCCAGCTACAGAGGGGCGTTCACGTCTCTTGTAGCCAGACGTTCGTTCCATTTCTGCTTTTTCCTCTTTTCCTCTCCAGTAATTCCCCCTCTTCGCTGCTTTTCCTCTAATTGCTTATTAAAACCCTCTTAAATGAACTTTTTGTGCCAACTTTCCAACACATTAATTAATTGTTGTAGCCAATTAAGTGTCGCTGTGCAAATGAGCTTCAGCACAAATGGTCCTGCAGGGCCCGCACCCCCCAAACCCCCTCCCCTTATTACACCCCTACCCTCTCTCTTACTGCTTTCCCAGCAGCCCCTCTGCCCTTAAAGAGGCAGCACCAACACATGCAGGCACCGAGGGGGAGACAAGGCAGTGACTCTACCATGCTGATCAAGCTTTTTGAACCGAATTGATAATAAGAAGGTGAGACCTTGGGGAAAAAATGACTTTGGTTTGCAGAAGTGCAGCATCATGCAAAGAGGATGATGTGAATTTGACTGAGGTGGTGATATCGCCAAGACAAAAGGTCACAGAATACATTTAAAGAAGCCAGCAATGTCATCTGTCCTGAGCTTTTCTTTGCATTGCAGCCTCTCCAGTTAGCCTCACTGCTGTCGGAAGACCCAACGCAGACTTTTCTTTAGGAACACTCTTTATGCTCTATGCTTGATCATTTTTGCCATCCATGTTTAACACCACTTGCCCTACAGTTAAGTAGTGACAAATATGAAATAAAATTATCACGTGGCTGAATTTAGTCTCCCTCGGTGATTCATATATATCTTTATATCCTGTTTGAGTCAGATTTTTCAATCTGTTGAAAAAAACTTTTATTCCCTAATGTTTTTTTGAACTATTATGTCACAGTATTAGCTGTAAATGTGCTAAACAAGGTCATGGACTTCCTATGAACCAATTTTACGAATCAGCCATTTTTATTTCATGCAGTGATTTTGTAGTCGAAGTTTAAGGATGTCAAAGATAAAAGTGGATAAGTCAAAGTGTTTGGCTGTTGGTTGTAATAACTTTGTTTTTCTTGAAAAATAATTACACATCAGTGGGGAAAGTCCTCTTTGTGCAAAGCGTTTTAAGGACGACTGCTTTAGCAAACTCCGCTAGTTTCAAGTAAGAATAACTTTGAGGTGTCATCTGTCTATGAAAGCGACACATGCAGCAAAGTATTAAGCTGCAAATAACGCTAAATTGACAATAAACTTTATTTTAGACATAAATTTGCTGAGTGTTAATATGACGTCTTGGCTAATGTGATGATAGCATTAGCATTGTGAATTCTGCTTCTGTTAGAACTATGTGTGCTCACTTTTAGGGACATAACTATACTACCTGCTATTAATGTACTATTAATACTGTTTAATAATAATAGGAATATTAGCATTATTAAACAGTTTGTCATTGTTTTTGTCACTTTTGTCTTGGGAAACAAACCATCCAAAGGGATGCAATGACATTTTTAGTGCTGGAGTTATCTAACTGTGTGAGCCTCACTGTATCTAATGTGAGGCTGAATGGTCTTCTGTTGATGACATCTTTTAATCAATTTAGAAATGAAAAGTTCATATGAATATATTGTTATAACAATAATTTAAAAGGAAGAATTAAAAGTATCAACATCAAAGTTAACTCTTAGTTTTAGCAATGTTTTGGAGTGTCCCAGCCAGAATCCTGATTTAAATCTGATGTTTCTGTTGTGTGTGATTAAAAGCTGCATTTATATTTGGAGACTGTTTCCTGTGTGAGTTCAAGTTTTCTTTTTGCCTCTTTTCGGTATTAACGTCCTCAAAGTCTGCTTGTAAAGGCCAGACCTGACATAACAAGGATGTAACATGAAAATTCCTAGAAACTATAAAATATAGATAAATGGGGGGTGTTGTGTTATGGCACCTATAAAACTTGCTGTTTCAGCAGTAAACCATACATCACAGCTGGGGGGAAGTGGATCAGTTTTTTAAATATTGTATAAACAGAGATGTACTCGTAAACAAAATGGCTGACATAAAATTTTATTTGATAGAAGACAAAGAAGAGCTGATGAAGACAAGAATATTTACACGCAAGCTGTCTTAATAATTAAAAAGATTTTGATTCACATTTTATTCAACTAGGTGCAGGAATCTGTTCTACTTTGCTTTTATTTTAATATGTACGTTTGCCAATATTTGGAGTTGTAGGCCGCTATTTGTCCTTTGTGTTTAATTTGGCTTTGTGTGTCTTGGATGTGGAGCTGTGGAAGTCCCTGTGTCTCCTCGACGAGTTCACAAGCTGATCAAACAGCCTCAGTCATCAAACCGGCAAATTGCTCACAAAGACAAAATGCAGACTGCACATACTCATATTTTCATGTAGAGGTAGTTAAGAACTTTTTATCTATACCTTTTTATATGTTGAAATGAAGTTTTGAGATGAGAAATAAAAGAATTAAACTAATTAATTAAACATTTCAGAATATTTTTTTGCTTTGCTAGTTCAATTGTCAACTTCTAAAATCCTGTTTAGTCAAGAGTTTTATTGATATGCATAACATCCTGTTTTACATGGAGGTTTAAACAGAATGCTTCATTTGTTCCTTGAAAATTAAAAAGTACAGTGAGATCAGAGTTTGCTGCCAGATTACAATGTGGTGGCATAATTTAAGGAAAAATATTGTGCTTTTAAGAGACAGTCTGTAGTTTGTAGAAGTCTCAAGAAAATGCTTCTATGTCTCTCTTTCTAGTGATTTTTTGCTGTAAAATTGGCATTGTTCCATTCTGTTTTAATTGAGGGGTGCTCAAAGATCCTTTACATATAACATGGTACACAAACCAGGTGTTTAATTTTCACAAGACCTGAGAGGGACTCAGAAAATTCAATCAGTCTTTGAAATAAAAATCCAAACATTCATTAAATCAGTTTAGCATGAATAGACTTGAAACAAACCCTCAGCAATTTCACTGTTTGTCTGGAAGTCTCCCAGAATCGCTGCAGCTGATTTAAGTGCCAGCATTCAAAGTGGAGGCTCCATTTTGATCGCCGCAGACTGTCCCTGCCATGGCGACGGTGAGCGTCAGATTGGCACATTTTTGGGCATTCCCCATAAGGTGCTTTTTCTGATTGATGGCACCGCCTCGCTCGCCTCCGTCTCGTCACTCCTCAGCCCTGATTTATTCGTCTCGTCTTTGTGACTTGGCGCTGGCATTGCCCACTACATCCTCCAGTGGAAAGTCCCTGCGGGCACTTTCACTATTATTTGGAGTCCCGACGGGCAGAGGCATCAGACAGAATGCAGCACCGTCTCATCTCATTCTCACTAGGCCTGTGCTAGAGGGCAGGTGAGCCTCCCTCCGCCTCCTCTCTGAATGGATATCCCACCCAGAGGGCTCAGCTGCTCGCCGGGCCAGAGGGGTAAGCGGCTCTGTAAGCGTGCCAAGTGAGGAGCTGGTCTCTGTGTGCATGAAGCCAATCCAGCACACACACACACACACACAATCTGCACTATCCTTGGAAGCCTCTGCGTTTGCCCATCTAAGGTTTATGATCCTTGGCTGCCTGTCGGGATCTTCATAGAGAGATCAAACCAAGTGGGGAAATAACTGATGTATAAATATGATTGATATAGAGGGAGAACCAATCATTTAGACGCCATGTCTCCATCTGACTGGGTTGGAATATAATCCATCCAACTTTAATTGGGTTGGAGACAATATTACAAGCCAGCTCACTTTAAAAAATGTGTAATTTAGCAGCTTGTGCATTTTTGCTAGATAAAAATATATCAGTCAGCTAAATAGCCTTGATCTTCTGATTGGTGAAAATTCTCGCTTTTATTTAAGTCTATAAATGTAGCAACACACAGAATGTCAAGATCTAATAAGGGTTGGGAGTATTGTATGATGTATAAATAAGGGTATTCTCATCACCCCTTTTCTGCTGTAATCAAAACTGCCACTTCTCTCAAGAAGCCTGCAACATCTGTGTCATTTATTACATTTTAAATATATAAGTCAATCAATATTATTCCAAAATTTATGGAAAACATAAAAAGTTTGATGTTATAATAATTTTATATGAAAGTGGAAGCCTGCCATGGTGATGTCCTCAAAGTAAAGTATTGAAATACAATCACACAACAAAAAAATGTCAATGTCTCAATAATGTCCTGTGCCTTTGAGTATCAACTACAGATGACAATGTTTACTGATGTTCATAAGTCGACTTATTGTATGCTGAGGCATGGCGTCCCACTCTTCTTGAAGGGTGCCCCTTCAGGTCACAGTTGACCCCGCCTACCCTCACTCTAACACCACCATTGCTCTCCTTGATGTCGTTAACATCGTTGGTTGCCATAAATTCTTCTCAAAGTGAATCAACTTTGATCAGAGAAAATCTCTGAGGCTCTTTTGTCCAGCGCAAATGCTCCTTGACCCTTGCAAGACAACACCACCTATACCTGGTGGTCTGGTCAGGTACAGCGCTTTTAAAAGGTATTGGTGAATGTTTTAACAATTTTATTGCCTTTAAAATTCCTCAAAAACAACTCTTTAATAACATTGCATAAATATTTGGCTCTTTTAAAGTGGCTGACCTAATTCAAGACTTCTGGCTAACTTGTGCTTGTATTCTCAGTGGGTGGAATAGAGATCACCGGAGTGGAGTGAGTGTGTCACAAGTGATTGGAGTATGAAAGACATAGAGACACGTAAAGACACTCCAAGCAAATCAGAGAAAAGGTAATTGTCAGGTATAAGTCAGGGGATGGATACATAAAAATCTAAGGCATTAACATACCCTGGAGTCCAGCTAAATCCGTCAAAAAAATGGACGGAATATGGCCCATTTTGTGGCCATATTCCTTCTCTACTTCTCTTTTGTGGAACAGAGGCATAAAGAGACGAGAAAACTACTGTCAATGCTCAACTTGAGACTAATGGTCAAACGGACGAAAGTTCTTTAGTCTGGTGAGACCAAACTGGAGCTTTTTGGTCATCAGGCAAGACACAGTTTGGTGGACACCAAACAGTACACATCACCACAAAAACACAACATTCCCACTTTGAAGCATGGTGGTGGCAGTACAAGTGGACCAGTCAGAGCCAAAACTTTAATTCAAAAGAGAATTTGTGGCTTGAGTTGAAAAGGGATGTTCAGAGTCTAGCAACCTGAACAGATTTGCAAGGAAGAATGGAGTAAAATTGAAAAGTTCAGATGTGCAAGCCTGATTGAGACCTATAGACGGACTGTGCTGAGATTGCAGTGAAAGGTGCGTCTGTGTTTGATATTTTTGTAGGGTTTTTTTTCAACAAAATTTTCACTTTCACATTAATGAATTTTTTGGTAAAATTCCTTCATCAAAAAAGCCAAGCTTTTCCATTAGAAAACATCCTGTTGCATGTTTTCCCTTCCAGTGGTGAGGTACTATTGATCAATTGATAGGCGTCGTCTTCATCAGATTATCTCCATCCAATCTCATTTGAGCAACGCAGCAAGGGACGAATCCCAAATCTACTTTTGTGTAGATCTAGATTACATAAAATGCCAAACTTTTACAAGTATGTGGATTTAAGAGGGAGGATGTGTAAATATTAAAATAGTGAATCAGTTTTGGACTATATGTACAAAACTGAAAAAGAGAGAACCATTTAAAAATTATGTTAATATCTGAGGTCAAATGAGATTTTCCAGGAATCTTTTACTGTACACCTGAGTGTCCTCTATTTAGTATTTTTGTGCTTTGTTCCTTCAGAGACAGCATGCTGACTCAAAATGAAACAACTCATAGCACCGAAACCTGGCCAACACTGCAGTTCTCATCTTTTATGAAAAAAAACAAGTTGGGATTTGTGGAAATGCCTACCATCTAGTGGTCACTTCACACAGAAACGTTCAGAAATAGTATGTAGTCCATCTGGTGGGATAACCTTTAATAAGCGACCCACAGCCCCAAAAACACAATTACAATTATTTTTGTCGTTTCTTCTGTCTTTTATTTTACAGACATTACTTCTCCCTTTCTTCAAAGCAAAAGAAACCGAAAGCAAAATGACTGACCGTCACTTTTTAAAGCGTTTTTCACTTTACGTAGAAAATAATCTAATCAAAATAAAGAAAGAAAATGAGGGGGGACTTGTTGCAGCAGTTGTCAGAAAGGCAACGCGCTTACGGCCCAGGTAAATCCGTGTGCATTTATTCAACTTTACTTGAACTAGAGTAGCATGTGCAGAGCAGCGACATATAATGTTTCGATATAATCCATTTATGGGTCAGAAACAGGAGAACTAGAGGCTTGTTAAAGAAATGATTGTTGCACTTCATAGGATCACAGTTCAGGTAGTACATCTCAATCTGCTGAGGTTTGGGGTTTAAAACAAAAGAAATGCTCTGAAAAACATACACAGTGGTCACTCAAAGCAGAACTGAAGCCCCATCATACCCGAAATCATTCAGGAAAAGCTGAAAGATCAGACTGAAAACAAGAGGAGCTCGCATTTAAAATAAACTGAAAAACATTGTTCTCCATAACACTGAAACGCACTGAAAGGGGGCCACTGCAGTGGAACTGACAATCATTAAGCCTCAGTTGCATAGCACTCAGTTTAGCAGTCTGGCCTCGTCGATGTTTGGAACAGAGCAAAGACTTGGAGGCGGCGAGTGTTGCAACCTGAACTAATCCTTGACCACCTGACCCCATGTCCAAACACTCCCACCAAAGCAACAGAACAGCTTGCTCCATTAGGCAAATGCATTACCTGAAAAAAAAAAAACTAAATTTCCTCCTTTTAGACATTCACTTTCAAAATCTTTGATTTGACTTTCACTACCTGCTCTTGGTCCAGTGAATCACTTTCTGTGGCTGCATTCTCCATCTGCCTTTCCTTTCCCCTCAGGCCTGGACTGCTGGAGTTGTCTCATGATACCCAACATTAAGGTCACCAGTGGATTGGAGATCAGCGGGCGGTTCCATGGGAAAATCGCAGATCCTGGTCCTTGGGGAACTGTGCCGAAGTGGTGGGAGCAGCAGCACCCAGCGCTACCGGGGCCTCAGCTGGGGCTGAAGATTTAACAGGAGAGTCCGCAATCCAGGTTGGGGTGGGGTCTTCACAGCCTGTGGCATCTACAGCCGGGGAGGGGTCTTTGCTTTGCTTGGAGGTCACGACCTCCAGGTCCTGCTGGGAGATGAGCTGAAGCAAGGCAGCAGCCACAGCAGGGCTGATGCCCTGGTTGCTAGGCCGAGTTTCTGACTCGGCTTGTTGGGAGTTCACCAGGAGAGGACCTGCTGGAGGTGACCCGGGTGGAGACGGGGGGCGCTGCTCACCGCTTGGAGGTAACGGGTCAGGCAGAACTTGTTTCCTTTTCGACGCGCCACCATCTAATGGACCCAAAGAACAGAAGGGATTAAAAATAGAAGAAAATTGATCAGCAATGTTAAGCTTTTTTTTTTTTTTTTAAACTCCCAGTGTGTTCTACACCTCACTTACATAAAAAAAAGTCCTGAGTAAATTCAGCTTGAAAGTTAAGCAATACTAAAATTTTCATATCGACCACAAGGGGGCGCACACAACTAACGACATATAAACATTTCTTTGCTCTCAGATCATGTAGTAATAAATGCTGTGAAGCAGTGAAACATTAAAATTTATGCAATTTTCCAGGTTTAAAATTGTTAATGAACCCATTTTTGTTAATAATTTTAATTATTAGTCATGAAACAAAAAAGTTCAATCTAGTGCATGTAAAACAATATTGGCACTCCTCCCATATAACCAGTTGTGTGTACTGAAAGAAAAAGATGAGCTCAAAGCACCAGTGTGTGATATTTATAGAACAGTGCAACCAAAACAAGACTAACATTGTGGCTTTAAGCATTCAAAATACTCAAAACCATTCCAGTATAAACCATGATTCTGCTTAATATTTATACTAACTAATTACTGAGTGAAAGTTTGAAAAATTAAATAAAAACGTGACAAACCAAATTTAAAAGAAACACATGCAGGTGAGATCTAAAAAGATTCAAAATATTTATTTTCACTTGATAATTTATTAGATTTTCTTCATAAAAATCCTGACAATTACAGACTGGTTTTTTTTTTCTGCGAAGAAGCCACACCTCCTTGATGATGAAAATGAAGTGAAGATAAAACATGTGAAAATGAAACGGACAGAAACAAAGACAGTGAGAAAGAAACGAGAGGGAGATTTCATGGGAACAACACAGCGTGAAACTTTTTTTATTTTACGCAGCTGAACATCACTTGACTAGGTTTTGGTTTTTACTGAGCACTTCCAACCGTGCACTGGTCATGTCCATGTGCACAAACGTTTACCTGTTTACCCGGGTCACATGACAGCCAAATGCACAAGAGATTTTCACAGGTTTCTTTTGCTGTTTTTCTTTAAAGACAGGTGCTGAAAGGAGATGAGTATTTGTCAATATCAGATGGGTTGATGTATGATTGGTCTAATAGCCGGATTCATTTGGATTATTGTTCATTTCATCAGGTCATCTAAAATCTAATTTGAGAAAAGTTTATAGGTCTTATACAGATTTCCTCTGCTTTACTCATTTTATGAATTTCCCTCCTGACTGGTTTCCTTTTTGTTCACTCTCTAAAGACTAAACCCAGACTTGCCCTTGGAATCAGTAGTAGAAGCGGACGAACCGCGTGTCAGCGCCTCCTCTGACTTAACGCCATTGCTTTCATCGCTTTGCTCCTCGGTTTGAGGTTTTATGATTTGGCCCAGAATGAGAGCCAGCAGGCTGGCCTGGTCTTCCTGGCTGAGCGGAGGTTCTCCAGATGTGGGTGAGGCCTCCTGGGGTTCGGGAGGCGGCTCAGGAGGCTGTGATGAGGCAGGAGGCTGAGCCTGGTCCTCTGCAGCCCCCTGGTGGTCAGAGGCCTCATTGAGAGTTGATAGCAACTGGCTGACAGTGTCTGAGTCAGAGAGGTTAAGGAGCTGGGCCACTTGGGGCAGCTTTAGGTCAGTCTGTCCCTGGAGGAGGTTAAGCAGCACGGCCAGCTCAGTTTGATTCAGTTGCTCTGCGGCCGCTCCAAGACCTGAAAATACATAATGATTAGCAAAAACATAAACTGGAAAGAGTAGAAAAAAAAGAAAAGAAAAAAAGAGTCTGGCTTTATTGTGACTAAACTCCTGACAATGTACAAGTAAATACTCACATTTCCATACATACATAATGTATCATTGCATTTTAATTTAACAAACACCTCAGCAGGCCAAATTACATGTTAAGAAAAATGGAAATCTAACTGTATGCAAGCTTTTAAACTTTAAGTGACTTCACACTGTCTTCACAATCACAGCTACGTAACTCTAAACCACAAGCTTAAAATTATCCCAAGACTAAAAGGCCTTTAATTACATAATAATAAATATGTCAAATAAAATATGTTCTTTGACCTTTGGAGATCTGGGAGCTGAAAAAAATATTTACCTTAAACACTACAAATGATATTAATGCTATTGATTTCAGATTTCATTTCAGATGTAGCGTTTTGTTTATTTGCAATGAAAATTGTTAACAAATAGGAAAGACGTTTTTTTTTTCCCAAACATAATACTTGGAGATGATTTGTTACCTGTCAGTTCACTGTCTAGTTTGGCTGTGGAGGGCGGCTTTCCTGGGGGTGGGGGCGGAGCTCCAGGCGGGCTGCTTTGGGGTCGGCTGTTCTCTCCACTGGAGGTCCCAGCCATATCTTTACGGAGCACTTTGGGCACAGGCACATCCTCAGGCAACCCACTTTGACGTGCACGTCTTTTCTTTTTAATCCACAACTCGTGACAGTCCTGGTGATGAGGAAGACTGGACCAAGAAAGCACAAACAGGTCAAAATTTTAAAAGATTGGAATCTTAAACTGTGCTTTTCTAAATAAGTCTTTTGCTACTAACTCTGGTGGCGACATCCTGCCAGGATCGACATCAGTAAGAAAGTCACTGAGAAGAGCTTGCTCCGATGTGCAGCGACGTGAAGGGTCGAGGGTCAACATTCGGTCCAGCAGGTCCAGCGCAGGAGAAGGCAAACTGCAGAAAGGAACAGAAATATTTACCAAACCTAACAGAAAACAACAGATTTGACATGAGCATTTGGCAGGCGACATACAAGGCAAACTCCTCTCGTAGCCGCCGTCTGTACTGCTTCTTGGGCTTCATGGTATTGAAGAGTGGAAGTTTGATGACATCGGGCCACGCCGCAGGACAAGGACTTCCACACAGACGGCTGCAGGAAATGGAAGGGAGCTTTTAATCATGAGATATGTTTGAAGAAAACAGCAATTTAAGATGGAAACGATGTGTGAAATTCTCCAACATCACAGAGGAAAAGCATCGACGATTCTTTTTATTCTTTATTTCACTCCCTCTATAAAAGGCATGTAACTCTCAGGTAGCCTAACATTTGTTTTGGAAGGTTGTTTCCCAAGAATGACAGCAAATAACCAACAAAGCAAGAAACCAGATACTATTGTTTCTGTAAATATTCATCCAAACTACGCTGAATCACTTATTTCCAGAGTGCAGTTTTTAAGAACTCAATGGAAAAATGTAATTTGTTTATTTTGACGAGTTATGACTCTGATGTAAGTTGTAATGGTGATCCAATTTACTTGTGAGACTAGCTGAGTTCAGGTTTTTAAAGCAGTCGACAGCAGCTAAAACACATTGGGGCTGTAGAAGTTTCTGTACCTGATGAGTTCCAATTGTAAAAGTTCCTGGTTTGCCTGAAATATTGGTTTTTTAGTGAAGAGCTCTCCAAGAATACACCTAGACAAAGAAAACAAACACACAAACGAAGTTAGTACACTCACTGAATATATATTGTACATGAAGAGCAGTAGTCCCATTTAAAAGTGACTTACAAAACTTTCTGTGTAAGAAGGCAAACTTAGTTGGTGTAATTTATTAAATGCAGATACAAGCCCAAAATGTACAAACAAAAGAAAATGTTACTTAAGATTTAAATACATTTTCAACAGTACTTTAGAAAAAATATATGCATTTTACTCTGTTGTTGACATAGCTACCCATTCAAAGAGCATGATAATACATAACAGATTCAGAAAAATAAGACAAACTATATTAACATTATTTGAGAAAAAATATTAATAATTACAAGGATTATGTTTCCAATTACAAAATATCTGTTGTAGAAATTTTAAACAGCTTTAAAGAATCTTGGAAGGCTGTAGGAAAACAAGATTGACAGGCACAGGCCAAAAAATATAAAGTGAAAAGTACTTGAGGACCACAGAATTTTGATTTCATCTTTTTTTTTTATTAAAACTGCAAAATGTATTTTCATTTTAACCTGAAAACTAAATATTTGAATAAAACAAGTAAAGTAGTTAAAACAAATAAAGTAGTTTTCTGTAGGGAAGGGGATGTGTAATTGTGTAAATCATTACAGATCTGAAACATGAACGGGGTCTCAGTATTACTGCAACACATAATTATAAGTAGCAGGAGAATCTTCAGTACTTATTAACCAGATAAATTCATGCTGAGCTTAAAATTTGTCTGGTTCCCCAAAGAAACGGAGACAATATGCAAACAATTAATCTTGCAAATTGCTGATGTTGCTTACATTGCAGAAGAAGTGCTATTAAAACATCTGGATCATTAGAACTATTCTCTAAAAATATAACCACTTATAAAGTACAACATTTACTTTGGTACAGTTTATGCAAATGAAATTGGACAACTTGTTTTTGGAAACAGGTTGTCTTTTGTAAAAGTTGCTTCACGGTAAAAGAATTATGTCCATTGGTTTTGTTTTGTTTTTTTTTTTTTAATAAAAACAAAGAAAGAAAAAAGCTGGATTCTGACTGACTGAACAAGCATTCCACTTCGACAGTTTTAGACTTACCCGCAGCTCCAAACATCAATGGCTGGGGAATACCTCTCCTCCCCAAGCAGCAGTTCAGGAGGACGGTACCATAGTGTGATTACTTTATTAGTGTAAGGTCGACTGCAGGGGAAGAAGGACAAAGAACAATGACGTTATGAGGCATTCACACAAAACTTGCACCCCCGTGTGTCCAAACAGAAATGGTTCAGATGCAAGTGAAAAGATTTTGGCTTCATCTACTGAAGAATTACTCACTTGGTTAAAAAAAAACTATCTTAAAAACAATTCATTCATGCAAACCCCAAAAAATATATATCTAGGGAGACCCTCCGTATTGTAGGGAGGGTCAGTTGAAACTCTTCCAGGACAGTTTGTTGTCCCGCAACAACAAATTAAATGCCTGAATTACAACATCAACATGTCATTCCGTTCTGCAGCAACCTGGTAATGAACCAGTAAGTTGATACAGGCACCCAGAGAATAAGGAGGCATCTAAAAGTTGGAGGATAACCACTCTTAAGGACTTGAGTTAGAATTCAAGATAAACCGACTGTGTGTTTCATATGTTTTTTTTGTTGTTGTTTTTTTTTAAATAAACACACACTCACCTTTCTTCAGAGTTGTAAAGTCGAGCCAAACCAAAGTCTGCCAGTTTGATCTGACCTCTGCAAACCGAGAAATATCAACATCTGGCATGAGTAACAAAGCAAACAAGCTTTATCTCCATCAACCAATTTTCTTACTAAAACCATATTTACTTTGTGTCTTTCATGCAACAAAACAAAGACAATGTTTTGGGGGGGAGAAAAGATCGGTCATTAGTCTACTGGGTTGTAGAAATATACAAAACCCCCCAAAACAAAACAAAAAAAAAGACAGAATTGTAAAACCAACAATCACAATGCATATAAATGTTGATTGGAGTGTGTTTGTTTTCTGACCTGTTGTTGAGCAGTATGTTGGAACATTTGATGTCCCTGTGCAGGAAGTTGTTCTTATGGCAGTAGTCCAGGCCCTCCATGAGCTGACGCATGAAGCTGCGGATGTGTTCGTGGGAGAACTGGACCAGGCCTGACTCCAGAAGGCCCATCAGGTCGTGGTCCATGTACTCGAATACTAAATAAAATGCACCTGAGAGTAAATAGAAAAGATTACAGCTTAGAGTGAACTTTAAGATCAGAAAATCTCAGCTGAGGCTGGTAGGAACATCCGAGCAGAAGGAGCTGGAGAGTGTTGATGGGGAAGAGGGTGTCTGGGTTTCCCTGCCAGACATGTTATTCTGGTGGCCCATTCTCAGACAAGCAGAGCACAACACACACACACACACACACACACACACAGATATGGGGAGTATTCAATGTCGGAGAACTAAAAAAACTGTAAAATACAGTTTGACAGTTTTGAGTGAATAAGAATGGAAGTAATGAAACAGCTGCCCAATCCTTCATATGTAATAATCTGTTAAACACACATGAACTCTTTTTCTCAGTTGGAGTGCTGCCATATGGAGCGTTTAAATAGAAGCAGTTCTACAGACTTCTTTAGTAAAGGCGTATCTTGAAAGAAGTAAGAGTAACGATATTTGTTTTTCTATCTAGCGCTCAATAAGTAAAGCTTTCCAAAGCCTGGAGCTACCAAACAGAAAAATACAAAGACTGAAAGGAAATCCACACCAAGTTTCCATGCCTCTTAGACAGTAAAGATTTTACTTAAAGACCATCCATTTGTCACATGTTATCTCAACTTTAACATAGATTAAAAACAGAAATTAGATTTTTTTTTTTCCCCATTCACAGCAAAAAAACATGCATACCATCTTGTAGCCATCGTACCTTTGTCCTTTTTGAAGTCTAGTGCATCCTGCTTGTCGGTAACAATTTCCTTCATGTTGACAACACTGCGATGTTTGAGCTGCCTCAAGATCTTTATCTCTCTGATGGCGGTGATAGGGAATCCCTCTTTTTCATTGTCCAACCGCACTTTCTTCAAAGCAACAAGTTCCCCTGTAAAGAAAAGTGATGCACACAGGATTTACAGTAGAACGCATTTAATTCACATATCTTGAAATAATCATAAATGCTTTGCAAGCTTGTACATTACCTGTGTCTTTGTCCTTCGCCTTGTACACTTGGCCATATGTGCCTTCGCCTATGATCCCAATGATATCAAATTTGTCCACACAGCGTTTCCCCCAGTCACTCAAGTTATGTTTTCTCTCACCGTAACGTGGGGAACAAATCCTGGAAATCAAAGAGAAACAGAAAAACAAAGATATGTGGGATCATGTGGGAGTATTGATGATGCAACAACAGGTAATGGGGGGGAAATTAACAAAAGATTCTAACTTTGGTCTCTTCTTGAGGGGCTGCTGGGGGACAGGTGGCGGCTGGCGGACAGGCGACTGAGGCGGCGATGAGTTAACTCCAGGCAAAGTGGGCGGCAGAGGGAGATCAATGAGAGACGGGCGGCTGCTAGACGACTTTTCCTTTCTCGATGGACGCTGGGGAGGCGTGGATTTCTTTGGGCTGACGGAACAAAGCAAACTAATTCAGAGATAAAACCTTAATTTATTTTATGTTCTAATGAATAAAATTATCCACCAAATTAACGATCTAAGAGCACAACTCTCTTTTAAGTGACCATGGTGGTTTATGTTAACAGAGGAATGACTGAAACAGCAAAATGCAGGAAGAGAAATAACTTGTATTTTCAGTTTAGGGAACAGAAAAAAACTTGTTCAGGTTTAGAAAGTAAATGCAGTTCCAATATTTGTAAAACAAAAAATCTGTATCCACGAATCTTAAAGTTTTGCTTCCAAGCAGTCAACTTTTTATGTGATAACTAACAATTTAAAGTGATTTATTTAAATTTTAGGAGCTTTGTTAAAAACTTTGTTGGTTTTGGTTTGGTCTCTTTTTCCAACCCAGACTCAAGTTTTCATGCTCATACATAAGCACTGGAACAAAAGTATAATAACATGCTAACAATCCAGGTTAAACATTTAAGTTCTCAGAAAAAAATAAATATCCAGAAATCATTTGATGAAAACTGAAATATAGGATTCCATTAAAGTTATCTGCTTTGGAAGCAAAGCATAACGATACTAGGGATAGTTCTGTATGTGCATTTCATACTATAATAAACTATTAATGTTTGAAATCGTGTTTCACTTAGAGACGACTCACCTGTCCTGAGTGTTTCCCAGCAGCATCGGGGGCAGAGGGAGGGGGGGCAGAGTGGATGTTTTGTGGAGTGGTGTCTGGCGGACAGGACTGTGTGCAGGAACAAACCCTGGCGATTTTGCCTGGGATGTGTGATGCGTGGCGGGTTGATTAGCCCCTTCTGGCTGAGGAGGCGGTGGTGGCGGGGGTGGCACCTGTGTGACAGGTGACGGGGGCACAGGAGGGGAGGGCTCAGGAGGAGCAGGGGAATTGGTGGGAGAGGAAGGTAAAGGTGCTGTAACTTGATCCTCACTCCTGGGAGTATTAGAGGCTATTTGTGCTGTTGCTTGAGCCTGGGTTTCCACCTTCGCTACAGAGTCTCTTTCTACCTGTGGCGGCTCAGTTTTAGTGGGCCGTGAAGATGTGGCACTAGCGAGTTTTTGGGTGGATGGAAGAGGGGAAGAGGTACCACTGGCATTGGCGCGGGCGGCCGCCTCAGCGGCCAGGCGCTCTTTTTTTCTGCGTGTGAGCTCTGCACCCAAGCTGGAATTAAGGGGTAAGCGAGATGAAGGTGGGGAGCGGCTAGCAGGACGACCAGTGTGGGAGCTGCCGCCTCCTAAAGCTGAAGACGGATGCCTTTTGTTGCGTGAACGAGACGAGGAGCGGCGAGAGGAGTAGTGTAGCGGGGAACGACTTCTGGAACGGCCTGAGCGTCTGAAATAAGACAAAAAACAAAACTTTAAGCCACTCTAAAAGATCTTCGAAACACAATTCAGAAGTTATTTAATACAGATGTTCACTGAAAATAGAGAATTGCTAACCTTAAAAATCTCATCACTATGTAATATAGAAAATCATTCCATTTATTAATCTAAAATTTACTGAATGTTTCCATGCATTTTATCTTTTTTTTAGTGGACTTGTTTTTTTTTTTTATTATTCTAGTCAGATAATGAGGACTGTCATGATAGATTTACGTGGATATTAAATTGTCCCAGTAATAATTACAAAAAACAATGAAATTTTGAGACCACTTTCAAGTAATCTATTGATGAAGGCATAATAATGCAAGTTTTCCCTCTCAAAGATCAATGATTTTTGTAAAGGACACTTAACACTAGAACTGTAAGATATTAAAATCCCAATAAAACATGACAGCCAAAAACAATAAATAAAACCAACTTCATCTCAAATTATAAATAAAATGGACGCAAACCAAACTGGCCCTCAAAATTTTAATTGAGCTCATTTTAATTTATCTTGGGATTAATTGCAACAGACTTACTGATAACATGCAGTTCTATCACCCAAATAACATCAACCAGAAACTATCCGCTTTGGAATTTTCATATTTCATAATATATATTATGTTATCATACAAATCTATAAGGTACCTTAGCTTATTTACAAGTTTAAAAAAATATTAAAAATAACATTATTTTTAATGTAGATGTAGGAGCTTCAAGTTTTTACTCTTACTCCAATTACTCAGGTTTGTGAGGGTGAAACTGTTAACAGTTCAACCTGACTTAAAACCAAGAAAGCAGGTTTAACACATTCCCTGAAGACATTCCTGATTACTTTTCAACTCTCCTCTTGAAATGTTATATAGTTTGCTACACTAATCCATTAAAAGTCTTAATTATTCAGATGTAGCCAGGTAAACCCCTACAAAGTGTAGAGGGTTGAAGTAGTGGTTCACCAATAAATCGCCCTGATTTCCTTCATTTTGGTTATCGGCCAATTTTATCCACCAATCTTATTTACCTTGGCAAAGGTCTAAAAATTAACCCCTGTCCTCTTTTACTCTGTGAGAGGTTTGACTGACAGACCTACCCACCCAAGTCATGTCTACACATTTGCGGTTAATAGTCACCCCACTAAATATAGCAACCTTCTTGCTGTAAATACAGCAGACAAAAAAAATCTGTTTGCCCAAAACTGGAATCAGCAGGTCAGGGTTTTTAAAGATTGGTAATCCACGATCGGCTGAAAGACTGCAATCGGTGCAGCCCTAGTTTTCTAGATGTACTCACCGAGACGCTGGGCTTAAGCTGGAGGACCTCCGGCTGACATAGGGGCTGATAGAGCGCCTCCTGGAGTAAGGGCTGCTGTCCCTCTCACAGCTGGAGGACCTGTGCCTGTTGACATAAGGGCTGTCCGATCTTTGCCTGCTGCGGTGGGACAAATCCCTGTAAGGGCTGGGGCTCTTCTGGGCTAACCTCCGCCTGGAGTACCCATCATCCCCCTGTTGTCCATAGTTGGAGCCCAGTGGACTCTCACTGCCTCTTCTGGGACTGGATGGTACAGCAGAGCTGGCGCCCTTTCTGCGAGGGCTTCCCCTGCCTGACAGCTTCACCTTAGGGCTCGACTTGTGGCTCTTGGAGGACTTGCGGTGAGTCCTGTCTGTCCGGCTCCTATGGGAGGAGCTTCGGTTTCCATCTCCTCGGCCTTCTCTCCGCTGTTGCTTTTCTTTATGAGTCTTCCCTGAGCGACCGCTCTCCTTACTGCGAGATGAAGATGTGGAGGATGTGGTGCTACCTACACTGGCTGCAGTCTGTACAGAGAGCGTTGACTCCCCACGCTTGGTGTCACCTTCCGGTTGGAGCTGGCGCTTGGACGAGGAGCCTGATGAAGCAGTTTTCTCCTTGATTTTCCCAAAATTACCTTTTTCACGATCTTTGCTGCTCTTTTTCTTGTACCCATGCTCCCCGTTTCCAGAATCTTTGACTTTATTAGGGTCCTTGGGCTTTTTCCGAGAGTGTCTTTGACCCTTGCTCTCTCGCTCAGGTTCTATGACGATATCGTCCCCATCGTGTTCGGGAGAAGGGGAGGGATCCAGTCGGTCCCCGACCCCCCTCTCAGAAGGCCTGTTGGACGGGGGATCCGAGAAAGTGTCCGAGTCGGAACTGATGTCGTCGTACTCTACCAGAGGCTTCACCGTGTTGACACCAGGAGGCGCCGTACTACCCGGGGCAAAAACCCCGGGTCGCGGTACCGCCACGGATTCTCGGTTAGGTTTGTTTGATTTATGCCGTTTTCGTTTCGAAGATATCATGGAAGCTTTTAACAGCGCCTTACTATCTTTGCTCGTCATGTTTCCCTCAGAGGTGTGAGCTGGGCCTTGGGTCTGGTGTGGCACGCCGCCGCTCGAAACAGTCTTCCTCTTGGTCCCATGGTGTCGGTCCGACCCTGGCATACCTCACGCCGGCTTCCGTGTTCCGAGAGATTCATCCACGAGAAAACAACGGCTACTTCAAATGTTAAAACAAAGAGTTGCAAAGCAGAACCAGAATAAACACAAGCACAAAATAAACACTCTAGGCCGCTCGCGTCCTGTCCTCCTCAGCGCCAATTCATTCCATTAGCTCACCAAAGTAGTTTTCCAAAACAAGAACAAAAAATCCAAGGTGATTTTCCTGTGCAGAAAAGTTAGCACTCCGAGACAGTCACTGAATGAGGAAGGTCCAAACCAAACATAGGAGCATTGTGGTGTCGCCTCCGTCTCAACGTAGCTAGCACAGCTAGCTAATGCTCGACGGCTAGCGAGCAGACTCTTAAAAAAGAAAAAAGTCCCTTTGTGAAAGGTGTCCTTGTCCGGTGCCAAGTTAAGAAAACGTATTATTATTCCACAGAATAACGGTCTTAGTTTTCAGAAACAAGCAGACGCCTTGAGTAAAAGACGCTCGTTTCTCCAACAAAATGAAAACTTGACCCGGTTGGTGCTGTTTACATGTTCCCTTTAATGTAAGTTTTATCCTCTATAGATTCAATGTTGATTAGAAATTATAGTATTTTCGTGTGTAGTAGATGTTCCTGTTTATTATTAATGGCTCTGGAAATCAACCAGGCCTATATTTAGGGCGATGCTGGTGGATTTTGTATCATCCACAGCCCTATCTGAAGGAGACTACAATCGCCATTGTGGCTCCTGTGACTAGCAACTTCTGCGCACCAGCGAATTGACCGGAAGAGGGAGTGCTGGCAATCTCGACAGCCAATCGCAAGAAAAAGCCCGCCTACTGCTCTCGCGATGGCGCGACTGAAACGAGAAAGGTGGCAAGTTGCTCAACAAATGTTTTTAACTCTCAGTTAATATAAAACCATCACGTTTTGAGTTATAAAAACAAAGCAGTCTTCGTATCCTGCTGTTGTGTCACAGCAACAAGCAGTGTGCTTCAGATGTGGCCTAAAATACATCCATATATATGACTCCAATTAACTTAAATGTGTGGAAACCCAAAAGCTTGACCTGTATGTATACTTCTGAATTCAAAGAAAGACACGATAGATAGATAGATAGATAGATAGATAGATAGATAGATAGATAGATAGATAGATAGATAGATAGATAGATAGATAGATAGATAGATAGATAGATAGATAGATAGATAGATAGATAGATAGATAGATAGATAGATAGATAGATAGATAGATAGATAGATAGATAGATAGATAGATAGATAGATAGATAGATAGATAGATAGATTTCTGAACTCCCTAAAATGTCAAATCTCTCTTTGTTTAAGACAATATCATTATCAATGTCAATTTCTTTATTTTGCACTTAAAAACAACATAAATTGACCAAACCATTTTGTAGCTCAGTAAAATGAAACAAGATCACACACCAGAGCATTTTTTGACAAAAATTGTATTATCTTAGAAGAACAGTATCAGAACATGATGCGCCCACCACTCTGCTTGTCCGTGGACATGATGTTCTATGGTGACCTGTAGTGTTGTTTGTGGGAGATATGCATTTTGAAAAATGTCACAAAACTTAAACTTTGGTTTCATCAGACCACATGTTCACGTTCTTACTTTAGTTTGAATAATAATAATAATAAAAAAAAAAAAACGGAAGCTTGCCTATGGAAGGTCATTAAGATAGTTATTTTGCAACATTATCTGTCACATTTTTTTGTTGTATGTATTTTACCATTCAAACAGTTGCTACTGAAGAAATGCACCTTCTACCAAAACAAGCTTTGCCTTGACAATTTCCAAATCTCACTAAAATCAAATTTGTTTGGGTTGTAATTCCATTCAAAAAACTTTACCTCACGATAAGCAAGAACTAATAAAATCTTTTAAATAACTTCCAGATAACACAACATCCTTCAGAGGACTTCATTGATAATAGATTTCTTTAGTTCTTTAGATTTCTTCTTTTTGTCAAAATTAAAAATTTCAGGTCACCAACGCGTTATTTTTATGAAACAAAATTTTACTATTAAAAAAATAAAATCAGTTTTTCACTTGATAAATGCATTCTGCATCTGGTTCCAACATAAATTGTAGAACACAAAATATCCCCCAAAGAAACATCGAGCTCGACTTTCTGTGTCCACTATTTTTGCTTGTTTTTTAATAAAATAACTAAAACAACAACTTAATAACTGGAGGAGAATTGCAACCTTTTTCTTTGTATGGGACATTTTAGATGAGGCATTTGATTTAAAGGTTTTCCTGCACATTCATATTTGCCTGTGATTGTCATGCAAGATCTTTTTTAAGTTAGCAAAACAAAATGGAAAAAAATATACTACGAAAAAGAACGGCTCGATATCATAAAAAGCGGATGCAGTGGCATTTTAAATTGGAAATCGTAATATGAGGATAAAAAGTGTTAGACGACATTGACCTGTTGTCAAGCATGCGTTCCCAAGTATATAGCATGACGAACAGCCGTTCTGGATGCTGATTGGCTCCGATGGCCATGTGGGTGTGGTTAAAGGAAACGAGGAAGTGGCGATTCTTACTGTAATAACAAAAGTCGTAATGTATGTAAATATGATAGACTGTGGTATTTAAATGGCCAGCTGAGTCAGATGCATACAAAACAATTTAAATGCCCTGTTCGTCCCTCTTTTACGCCATAAACAGAAATCCAATATGTAAGTCCTATTGTAGGCTGTTTATTAATTGTGCGTGGGAAGAAGATGGCGTTTTATGTGATACAATAATGCATTTCATCTGTATTTTGTGTTATGAAATGTATTAGTTTTGAGAGGATTTGATATTTCTGACCGTTTCTATGGATTCATGAAGCCTGTCGGGTCAGGTATTTGTGCTACGTGTACGTGTTGAAAGGTTGATACCCCGCATTGATATTTTTACTTCAAGCTTCAGTGAACAAGTAAGTAATCCAAGTAGTCATTTTCTGCGTGGGAAATACGTGACTTGAAGCAACAGGATTATATTTAGTTTTTCTGAGAGGTGTAGGCTCAGTTTTAGGCTCCCATGCCTGTTGGGCTATTGTGTTGGATGGAAAGCTGCACGGGGGGGAGGAGGAGAGGGCGAGTAGATAAGAGGGAGAAGTGGTTTATTGGCTGGCTGCTGCCACTAAACCCTATTTTTTTTCAACCAGAAAACAAGAGGACTTGTCGTTTGTGTTACAGGCCGTAAAGCAACAACATCGCAACCCCGGGAGCAACGGGAGAGGACATGGTAATCGTGGATCGGGCCCGTATTTCTATTCTGCAGCGCCTACTCCGAGCTCATTGAGTCGGTAACCAGCGTCCGACATGGGGAAGGAGGTAAACGGTGTTTCACGGAGCCGGTTTGAGGTGAGTTAACCTCGCATGTTGACTGACAGTCGGAGACACAGACACGACCGAGCTGTTAGAAGCATTAGCATGCGGTTCCGAACAATGGCTGTCGCTGTAATTATTTTAAAACGTCGTTGCAGCTTCCGCAGTCGGTGTTTAGGATTAGGTCAAAACACTGTTGTTTTTGTTCGGACAACATACAGCCGAGGCCTGGCGTGTCATCTGGCTGGGGACACAGAACGTCGTTTTTCCGTCCAACCTCGTATTTCTTTCTCTGCTAAAGGCTAAACTTGGAGCTTAAAATGTTCACTTCTTTTACATTTGCGCAGTCAAAACAAAGACAGCGAGGCCAGGGAGCACGGCGAGGCACAACTTTCGTACTTTTAGTCATGATATTAGTTTTTTATTGTCTTTAAGGCAGCTATTCTCTTTATCAACATGTAACACTGTAATATATGTATCGCTTTTGTTTGGGCCAACCCGATATTTGTGTACAACTGTGGTCGCGAAAGGGGGCCCTCTGCTGTGAGTGCTGCCCTCAAACACAAACAAATGACTACAAACTGCCTCAATATAACCTGCGTGGAAAAAAGGATGGCCACTTGGAGATAGGTGCAGAAAGTAATCGGAAGTATACCCAGAAACTTTGTTAGCTGAATATTTGGGAGAGATTCGGAAACTTATCTCACCGGTGACATTGACCGGCGTAGCCTGAGCAGTTGATGTTGTTTAATCCCCAGCTAGCATGGGATTTGTGTGTGGTTTTATTTATTTTTAACGGCGCAACAGCTGACTGACTACTCAGAAGACTCAGGCCGTTTTACCTTCTGGCCCGACAGCTGCGGCCAATCTGCTAAAGCTAACTGGAATTCGGACAGGAGGAAACCGGAAATGGCTTGTGCACGCCTTCAATATAAAAGTACTTTTGTGAAGCAAAGTTTGAAGAGGATACACTGTATAATATTTCTTTTACAGATTTACTTCTCCAACCCTTTCTGGACTTTTGTTGTTGTTGTTGTTTTTTTTTTAATTTACTGAAAAATGAGTACACACTAATTTACCAAATTTAACATAAACCTATTCATCCATTGCATACCTGCCTCTTGTCATTTCATAGTCTTCAGTGGGAATAGAGCAAGAGGGAAGACACAAGCTGTATAGGTCACCTAAATTACCTGAGGACAATTTAGCAATTCTAATAAACTTTGATGTTTTTGGCCTGTGAGAGGAAGTTGGAGTACCCGAAGAAAAATCATGCATGATCCAGGAGAACAAGCAGACTCCACGCAGAAAGACCTCGGCTCTATTTTCGCACTCTATTCTCCCCTCATACACAAACCATTGTGTAATATTTTGTACTTAAACCAATGCCTGTCTGTTTTTTTTTAGATTGGTTAAGTCTGAAATTATTGAGATGAAAAGTAAGAAGATTATTGTTTTTGAGGATTAAAGTTTTTTGTTTTTAAGTCATCCTCTCTGCATTTATTTTATTGTGATCTCTATTTTGCCTTTTGGCTTAAGTAAACATTGACAGACTATGCTACTCGAGCAATCCAAAATGGTAGATACTATTTATTGGAGTCATCTAGCCACATTTTTTTAAATATAGTCAGAGGAATATATAGAAAATTACTTGTATGTGTTGCAGCATGCAGCTCATACTTGGAAAATATGGGAACAAATCTACAAGGCAACAGAATAATGCCAAAATAGTTGAGTAACCTTTAATCAATTAATCTTTTAATAATAAGCTTCTTAAAGAGACTTTATGTGGTGACTACATGTCTTCAAGCACTTTCTAATAGCTAAGGGTAAACCTTAAAATTATCATGTAAGGTGGAACATTTATTTCATTTCGTTAATATTTCTTACGCTAATAGGCCTCGTTCAAAAATTTAGAGTTTTCTCGACTTTTACTTTGAAATGTCTCAAAGGAAGTCCATCTAAATTCACATCATCAACATACCCTTTGTGTGCTGGCTCATAACCACAACAACCTAAGCTGTATTTCCAGTCTTGGCCTTCAACATTGAGGCTTCAGTTTTAGTTAAAAGTACCAAAAAAGGGGACTCGTTTCAACAAATTGAGTCATAAATTTAATTAGAAAACTCAGTGCAGGTTAAATGCTTCCAAAATTATGCCATAAAATAGAAATATGAAGAAATTCAAATACTCTTGTAATATGAGCGCAACATATATTGTGCCTTCTCTAAATATTCTTTCATTAAAGATGCACTTTATTTCTGCATTTTGGGCTTGCAGCTTATTCATTAATAACTTCTAAATTACTTTAAAAAATGCATTAATCTAATTCTCCATGGTGTGGAGTGTGTCTTTTAAAGCAAGGCAGGTCATCAAAGAATTGACATGGCAACTAAAATGTGGCCCTCATTTTGTTGATCTATCAATTTGCTGCCAGGTTTTTAGACAAAACCAATCTAATAATCACTTTATTTTTAAGAGTTTTATCTTATTTCTATCTGTGTATTTTTGTCTCGGGGTAATGGAAGCTTTAGGACAAACAGGTTTGTTATTGCCAGGATGATTGTAACTACTATGGTAACTGGGGCTGTATGGAACTTCGAGTAAAGTTGCATTGACCATCCCCCACCTGTTGCGAGGCAATGCCAGGCAGGATTTTTAAAAAAGAAGTGTTTTAAAACTACAGTTGTCAAGGTACAATTGACAAATCTGTCAAGTAGTCGACTGCTCAGGTTGGCTACGTGAGCATATCAAACAATTAGCCAACCAGTACAAGCTTCCTTTACTCGCAGTGTAATTAGAGCTGATCAGTAATAATTTATAATATTCTGCATAATAGACACTTGTGCTACCACTGAATTGAACCAGTGGCGTTATACATTTTCTGAAGTGTATGTGTCATAACAATACATATTGATAAATTTACAGTAAATAATGGCGTGGGTATATTATTTTAGCAGCGATTTAAATACTCGTCATTCTTTTGTTTCTGTTTCAAATGACTCTTAGCTATGGTATTTTCTACCCAGTAATGTTAACCGTCAGACTATCATACTGACCAAGGCATAGGTTCAGTATAGGGTCATCTCTTGAGTTCGGGGTCTGAGCATTGATTGGTTTGTGTTAAGTGAGTTAAAGGGAGCATGCTTCCCTATAAAGGAGTAATAAAGCTGAGTCTTCTGAAGATACCCAAGTACAAGTGCCCAAGTACCCAAGAACTTGACTTAAAAATGACTGAAAAAGAAATGCATTGTTGCAAAAAGTCCAAATAAATATTGCTCAGCATTTTTGAAAATTACAGGAAAATTTGACTTTTTATATACATTTAAGACAAATGTATAGAAATGAGAAGTAGCTCAAGACTTTGTAAATTATTATATTTTGATTCCTAATTTAACTACAGCAGTGATGTGCAGAAAATCATTTCTGTATTAAACCACAGAGGCTGTTTAGTTTGTGTGTCTTGTTCATAGATTCCTAAAATTAAATTACTTTATTAAGCCACAAATGTTTAACATGTATTACACATTTTTTCTGTTTAAGCCATTTTCAGCAAATGAATAGTACAATATAATGTCTAATTATGGTTCCATGGCATTTTCTGAAAAATTTCAAAGAGATTTCACTGTGCTTCACTGGGTTCCTTAACTAAACATTGGAGCTTTTCAAGCTTTCTCTCAGACTTGCTTTACAGATTATAGTTGACCAGTGGAGACAGCATAATGCTTGCATTCATGCAGCATTAGGTTCATTTTATCTTAGATTACAAAAGGAGACAGTGTATGCCTGGTAAACAAACATGCACATCTGCCTCCCTGGAAATGGCTCTGGACTATTTGGCCAAAAAAAGAAGTACTCTGGAAAAGCGGGCTCTTGCAGCCAGTTTGCCCCAAATCCAAACAGCGAATGTCTGTCCCTTTCTTTTTCCCTCAAAATTTTACACGTCTGTGCTGGCAGGCAGCCGCTTGTGTAGACAGCTGTGTGTGTGTATGCAGAGTTTGTGTTTATCAGAGAGACATAGAAAGGCTTTGACCCAAAGGCCCTCTGGCTTTCTAAAGCTCCAAGCATTAATTTCATCCGGCAGACATCTCAGTTTGTTTTTATTATTTCTGCAGATGAATGAGTTGAAGTCCCACAATGTCCAAACCCATTGTGTGGTTTGAGACGCCCATAATAAAAGCAGCCCACTGTTGGGTGTTGTAAATTATTGCTATTGTTTAAAGGCGGTAAATAAACTTTTAATTTAGTTTTAATTGTTGGATGGCTGATTTGTTTAACTGACAAAATGATAGATCAGCACTAAGAAAATGCCTTAATTTAATGTCCAAGGAAAGCCCTGAGTGACAGCCCTTTACCACTGGCACTTTGGTTTGGATTTATTCCTCCCCAAGCCTGAGCTGGGAGCAAGGATTGCTTCATGTGTGGGTTCTCCCAAACATCAGTCTTCCATTCTGCAATCTAGCACAGGCCCAACTTTCTTCCACAAATCAATAGTGTACCCTTTATTTTTGAGTCGGAGGGTTTGTAATTGCATCTATAATGTTAATTTACAGTCCTCTGCATGTGAAGACCGTTTGTGTGTGCGAATTAAAGGGGTTTTATTTGTGGGTTCTCAGCATGCGGTTATTTGTTTGGAAATCCATTAGACGGTTGCAGGAAAAGAGCTGTGAAAGATGCAAGCTGGCTGATTCTGGGGTGAACTCATAGAACTTGCTGATGTGCAAACTCTTTAGTGTAAACAGAGGAATTGAGATACTGTGCACCAAAAATGATAACATGAAAGCAAAGGCCATCACAACTGCTTGTCTGCAAGACAAAGTCCACTCCTGCTGATTTTCTTAGAGAATCCCAAATATCCATCCTGCGTTCTGTGTTCTTTCCACAATTACTGAAACTTTCCTCCAGATCAACTTCTGCCAATGAATTTACCCATCAGTGTAGTGAACTTCTTTTTTAGGGACCAAGTTACTTTGAGACAAGCCGGCAACACTGATATCCTCTCTTTTTGTTTCAGATGTTCACAAATAGTGACGAGGCAGTCATCAATAAGAAGTTGCCTAAGGAGCTGTTGCTACGGTGAGTGACATTTTATAACTGAGTCAGCGTATCTGTAGGTTTTGTAAGATTTGGGGGAACTGAGATGTAAACTACTTCATACTTCACAGCCTCACTTTGAATCAGCAAATTTGAGCCAATGCCACAAATGCCCCACCTTTTCCTTTCTGTAACCTTTAAGCACCACATTCACAAACACACCCACCCGCATGCTGTGCATTTTGCAATCATATCATGTATGCTCACTGGCCCAACCACCCATTTTCCCTTTTAATACCCAACTTGCTCTGCTCCCTGAATGCTATAAGTGTAATTAAGAACAGATGCTGGTGGCTATAAAACATTTAAATTGATTTCAGACAAAAAAAAAACAACCTCAAACCCCTTAGTAAACAGAAAATGAACACCATAACTCAACCCTGGTCCATGCCAAACAATCTCGCTGCACTGCGACTGCTTGGCCAGGTGCAGAGCTGCAATTTCTGAAGTTGGCAGATGGTGCTGCGACTTGCTGTTTCCCTATTTCGACCCCAATATGCTTTTAGCTGCATTGCAAGATCCTGTAGATATTTAACTTGGATCCTTTTAGTGACTTTGAGTTGCTTTTAAGAAAATGAAGAGAGCGTAAGCAACTACTGTGCTTACAGTCAGTGATGTTGGCTGGTTTACGCTCTGCCTGGTGCTGTGGTTGCAAGCAGCTGCAGCGTTGAGCTGAGGGCAGCCTAAAATCATCAGACAGTCAAACAGTTATTGGCAGCGAAACAACTGTTGTGTTTAGTGGCTTGGATGAAAAGCAGCCATACATGTGGACTTTAAGATCGTTCACAACTCAATCCTTACTATTTCTTTTCCTAAAAAAGTATTTTTCAACATGTTTTTAACAATCAATAGGATTCATAATTGAAAGTGACACTGGACCAGTCTTCTACTGTCCTTAATGGTTTTCTTGGATGGATGTGGTGACTTTGCTGTTTTTCCTAAAATTGTTGCTTTGTTCAGAACACCAGTTACAAAAAAATAACTTGTATTTATTATATTTAAATCATTGCATGCAGAATATGCATCCAGTAATATTTTGAAATCTATTGAGATCTGTTGATGCTCTCTTGAAACCAGCAGTGGAGAAAATGAGGAAAAAAATAATATTTTCTTACAATGTAGTTTTTAAACATCATCACTTAAAATGTATCACTATGAATCCAAGTGATAAATTGGATTGTCATCATCATCATCATCCTAATACATTTATTACTGTAACAAATGATACAATGAATGCCCAATGAATGATACAATGAATGTGCTGACACTGATTTGTCAAACAGTCATTTGAGAAATTGATCCTGGTGTTTACTTGACGCTCTAGGACAGGTTTCTGCAACCTGAAGACTCAACGGCTTTTGAAAACTTTGAATAAAAATGATAAGTTGAAGTTTTAGAAATATATATAAAACATGCGCTTTTCTCAGTTTTTTATATGGAATCATTTGATTTAATTTCTACAATAGAAGCATCAATAATTTTTATTTTGATCTATTTTTCTTGTTAGAAGGATGGGAAATTCTGAATATCCCATACAAGGAAATGTTGCCATTATCCTTGAAAAAATAATTTTCTTCATTTTTAATACTTAAAAATAAGAATAGGATAGTTGTTTAAATATGACAATGGATTTTCTGTCATAGATATTTGTCAAAAATGAGAAGTTGTCTCTTTTTCTTTTTCAGTTTTTGAAAAGGTCATGTAATATTTGTGGCTGTGAACTCAGGACAAAAAAAGCTCTTTGGATTGTAAAGGTTGCAGACCCTGCTCTTGGATGCCATTGAAGTGTTTTACTTGTATTGGACCTTTCATTGAAAGACACTTGAAAGTTTTTAGGGTAACACTTTATTTGACGGGTTGTGAATAAGACTGTCATTACACCGTCATAAACATGACATAACACCTGTCATGAACATGAGTGAGATTTCATGAATATTTATGACTCTCATAAAGTGTCATTCGGTAAATCATGACACTTTTAATTCAAAGTTGACATTATTCAAAATGTTTTTGTGATGACAACTTGGCATTAACCAAGAAATCATGATCTGACATAAATTTGTTATAAAAGTATTACTGATTAAACTTTAGCTTTTATAACGTAAAGCTACATAATTTTTTAAAGTTTTCTGACCAAATATAGTGAAGATTAGGTCTTCCAATGAATTGATATGTATGTAATCACTCCACAAAAATAATTTCCCAACATAATAAAAAACTGAAGCAACAAAATTAGCTAAAGCCAAAATTTGTCACTGGCAAAACACTGGCCATGATTGCAGCATAAAGAAGCATCTTCCAGCCACAGGAACCAGAGTCTGTAAATCGTCCCTGTCTGTCTTCCAGAATTTTTTCCTTTCTGGATGTGGTGACACTCTGTCGATGTGCCCAGGTCTCACGGGTGAGTCTGTGTTCACTGTTACCATATCTGCATGTTTTCTGCTTGTGTAAGAAGTCGGCAGGCGTAGAAGTGATGTTGACTCTTAAAATGTCTGCGTCTGTTTCCTCAGTCCTGGAATGTCCTGGCCTTGGACGGCAGCAACTGGCAGCGAATCGACCTCTTTGATTTTCAGAGGGACATTGAGGTGAGAAAATCCTAAGTTGGTAATTTATTGGTAATATGACTTTAGATATTATTGAAGAGATAAAATAAGTAATAGATGTGACCATATGTGATGGAGTTTTTGTGTTTTGTTGCAGGGTCGGGTGGTGGAGAATATTTCAAAGCGATGTGGGGGCTTCCTTAGAAAACTGAGCTTAAGGGGTTGCCTGGGTGTTGGTGACACTGCCTTGAGGTGAGTTTGCCAGAAACCTAAGCTAATTAAATACTCACTTCAATCTAAATATTGCACAGAAAGAATCCGTAATGTTTTTAGTTCTATTAAATCAATTTGTTTCTGCAGGACTTTTGCACAGAACTGCAGAAATATTGAGCTACTTAGCTTGAATGGCTGCACCAAGATTACTGACAGGTTTGTGTTTAGCTCATGGAGTTGTGCTTGTATCACACTTATGTTTTGAAAATGTTAATTTTTTTTTCTCTGTCGCTGCAGCACGTGTAATAGTCTCAGTAAGTTCTGTCCAAAGTTAAAGCACCTGGACCTTGCCTCCTGTACCTCAATCACCAACCTGTCTCTTAAAGCTCTCAGGTGTGTTGCATCAGTTCTGGGTCAGATTGTACAGTGACACACACCCCTCTTAAAATGTTAAGCATTTGTGATGTACTGTGATAAATCACTTAGAATCTTTACTCACCTTTTAACATAACTTATATGCTAAAAAATTTAACTACATAACAAATGAATATGTTATGAGGGTGAATAAAAATAGCAAAAAGCTGTATTTACCTGTCTTATCACTTTGTTTAAAGCACCTTTTGATTCAGTTTCAGCTCTAAATGTTTTATTACCATCCCAGTTCCTGACTTATTTTACCCAGGTTGAATAAACTCATTTTCAAGATAAAAAAAAATATATTTTTTCCTTAATATGTTCTTGAATTTTATCCTCTGATGCTGCTGTTATTGACTTCCTTTTGCAACACCTCATCTGTGTTCTTTAGTGAAGGTTGCCCTTTGCTGGAGCAGCTGAACATTTCCTGGTGTGATCAGGTCACAAAGGATGGCATCCAAGCTCTGGTGCGCTCCTGTCCCGGACTCAAAGGCCTCTTCCTAAAGGGCTGCACACAGGTACTGCTGAGTACCTGTCAACATTACCAGTTCCTAGTATTGTTTTCTAATTAAAATAAGCAAACAAATGAGCAGAGGATGTTTTCAGGTAAAAGAGATGCTGGTTACTATTTGAAGCAGTAGAATGTTGTATACAGCCATTTTATTAACAGTCAACAACCTTGCATTGAAAGACAGTTCAAGGTGTCACATAGGTTAAATAGGTTTTGTGAAGACAAGTTAATCATTTAATGGCTCAACATCTAAGCATTGTTTCTTTCTTCCCATAGCTTGAAGACGAGGCTTTGAAGCATATCGGCACACACTGTCCAGAACTGGTTACTCTCAACCTGCAGACATGTTCAGTAAGTAAATTAACAAAAACATGAAGCTTGTACTGAAATATAAGGAAGATTAGGTTGTTGTAACGTAATAGTTAGTGTTTTAAAGAAATGCCACACCGATGCTACAAAAAGCTGATCTTATTCACTGAAGACATTCCTTAACGGCTTACGGAACAAGTAGTTTAGCACTTTGTGTTCTTTGCTGTGCAAATACTGTGGTGAAGTTGGGAACTGCTCAATTGCCCTTAGGGAAAATTGCTTTGTTCAGTGTCGTTAAATGCATGAGCTCATTATCTGAAGGTATTTAATGTTTGTTGTCACTGAATTACTTGCAGTACCAGTCTGGTGCCCAGAAGAGATCAAAGTAGTGAAGCATCAATATTCAGGGAGGATTTCTTTCTCTCCTGTAACTTAAGAGTAACTTGTGAATCTTCATCCAGGTGCAACTTTCACATTTGGTGTGAAAGTCCTTTTTTTGCTTCCTCCAAAATTCTTCCCAATCACTTACAAGCCTTAAGTTCTGAAAGAGTTTTGCTGTGGTATGCAAAGGCATCTTTCCTAAATAAAGGTTACGACTCAAGCAAGAGAACTTGGATGTTTTCAAAGTTTTTGAGTGAGAATGAGCTATCAGGTGTGTTATGTACTTATTCATGTCATTCTAGTTCATAATTAGGATTAGATGGAGGTCAGATTGCTTAGTTTTTCAGTGCAGAAGGCAAGTTCAACTTTTATAGATGCTTGGATACTTGTCAGGTTTTCCATCCTTCCATCTTTCCTTCCATCCTTCTTTCTATCCTTATTTTCTTCCTTCCTTCCTTTCTTCTTTCCTTCCTTCCATCCATCCATCCATCCATCCATCCATCCATCCATCCATCCATCCATCCATCCATCCATCCATCCATCCATCCATCCATCCATCCATCCATCCATCCATCCATCCATCCATCCATCCATCCATCCATTTTCTTCCGCTTATTCAGGATCGGGTCGCTAGGGTAGCAGCTTATGAAGGGAGCCCCATACTTCCGTCTTCCCTCTTGGTTAACTTTCGAATATCAAAAATAGGCCTGTCACGATAACTGTCACACACTTTTATTCTGCACCGTGGTCTTAACATTAGCCCTTTTCATAAAAGCCCTCAAAATATGTCAATATCAAGATGAATGAATGTGAGTAATGTCTACTAAAGCTTGCATAAGATATCCCCTGTTTCTGGTGAGTATCTCTCTGTTTGAACTGACTGTCATATGCTCCAGCGGCTGCCTGATGAGACTTTTGCTCCACGCTTTATGTGACCACTTATAGCCATTGGTCTCCAGTGTACAAAGAGCAGCTTATATCAAATAAATGTGCTAAAATATCCATCTCTGGTCTCTGTGTGCAATGATTCACTTTAATTTTAATGTTTAGTTTTAATTTGGCTTATTTTGTAAAATTAAAATACAGAGCAAAAGTATTAAAAAAGTTATGAAGTATAACCATATAGAAAAATCTTAAAACATAAAAGCACATCTACAAAGTATTAATGAGAATTTAAATGGAATATGTAACAATGAAAATGTGTCACTAAGCAAATTTTAAGTTGAACCCCTCTCGTTGTATATCTGCTTTTTATTTATAGTGTTAAATTGACCAGAAATCATACTGCAAATAATGAGATTTCATTCCATGCCAAAAATTCTATGTTTTCAACTTTTGAATACACTTGTCTTAAGAAAGTGCAGATGTTTTGTTTTTTTCCCCCATATTTCTACAAATTCTGTTGACTTTTATTTATTATTCTGTTTAAACACTTCAGCCTTTATTTTTTAATCTGACTTCTGCAAAAAAATAGAAAATTAAAATGCAGAAACAAATGAAATTCTCTCCTATGCTGAGTTTATGGCCATTGACAGATTTTACTCTTCACTGCTTGAAAACACAGCAGAGTGGAAAATTGAATGAGAATGTTAAAGTTTTTTTCTTCTTCCTCAAATGAGCAGCAGATCACCGATGATGGCCTCATCACTATTTGTCGAGGTTGCCACCGTCTGCAGTCTCTGTGTGTGTCGGGTTGTGCCAATATTACAGACGCCTTCTTGCATGCCCTGGGACAGAACTGCCTGCGTCTCAGGTACATATACATTCCCAACTTTATCGCAAACTTATCAATTAAACACTCACATAATCTTTATCAAATTGTTGAATAATTTCTGTTCATTCTCCCAGAATATTAGAAGTGGCTCGCTGCTCTCAGCTTACAGATGCTGGCTTTACTCCATTAGCAAGGGTAAGTTGTGGTGTTTTCCTTTTGAAGCCAGATTTTGTATTTTGATCATTTAAACTTAAACTGAATTTACATTAAAATTCAAAACCCTAAAGTATGTCAGATTAATTTCAATGTTTAATTTTTTTTTAGAATTGCCATGAACTTGAGAAGATGGATTTAGAAGAATGTGTACAGGTGCATACAAATATTTAAAGTATTGATAATTCAGACATTGTGACGTATGGTTTAAACGGCAAGATTTTTTTTTTTTCCCACACCAGATCACAGATGTAACTTTGATCCAGTTGTCCATTCACTGTCCCAGGCTGCAGGTCCTGGTGAGTCTGTGCTCTTCTCTCCCGTTACATTTGGAATCACATCTTTCGTTCTTTTTGATTGACTTGTGGCACCCGTGTTCCCTCAGAGTCTGTCTCACTGTGAGCTGATAACAGACGACGGCATCAGGCACCTCGGCAGCGGCCCCTGCGCTCACGACCGCCTGGAGGTGATCGAGCTGGACAACTGCCCCCTCATCACAGATGCCTCTCTGGAGCACCTGAAAAGCTGCCATAGTCTGGACCGCATCGAGCTTTATGACTGCCAGCAGATTACCCGCGCAGGCATTAAAAGACTACGGGTAAGTTGTGTTGGCTGATTATTCACACACATAATGTTCTGTAAGCATTCATTTTCTCAAGGCTATGCATGTCACTTATAGTGTGAAATTGATTTACATTACAGTGTGCACATATGTGCTGTGAGGGAATTCTCTGTTCAAATTTTTTGCTTCTCTACTAGAGTATAAATGTTTTGCTTCCTAGGGTTTCTGCTTATAAATCACAACAAAAAATTGCTTTATTGTGACCCTTTTTTTTTGCCTTACAAAAAAAAGCATCCACACCTCTTGAAATTTTCCACCCTTATCGCTTTCTGAACACAGACATTAATCTTTACAATATACACTATGATTGAGCAATTCTTATTTTTGAGGATTATTTTTATTAATCACAAACAACAGTGCTTTGTGTCAGCCTATAATGTTTATAAACCTCAAGCATAAACCCGAGATATTCTCCAAACAAAGCCAAAACCTGACATGTACTTTCTATGTGCACAATTATTGCTTATGCAAAATGATTACATTCACTTTATTATTTAAGTATAAATTACACACAACCCCAAACCTTCCAATAAATGGTTCTAACATTACAAAAACAACCGAGTGACTGTTATGGCACTGTTCTTTTCAATAAGTCACAAACCGTCTTTTCATGGAGTCTGTCAGATTTCATGGAGTCTGTCAGATTCTTGAAGTTGATCGACAAGTCTGTCGATCAACTTTCTGAGCAGCAGCAACTGCAGCCTCCCAGACACTGCTCAGAGAGGTGGACTGTTTTCCTTCACTGGAAATCTGTTAAAAGAACTTCCATGTGTCCTCAGTTCAGTTCAGCTCAGGTGAAGAACGTGGCCATTTCATAAGTTTTGTCATCTTCAATGCCTCTACTGGCTAACCAGGCACAAAAAATGTATTGCATAAAAATCATTCTCTTTTTGAAAGATGCGGACTTCTTCTTGAACCACTGGTTTAAGAAAGTGTTTTCTAAAGCCTGCAGTAGACTCTGGAGGTTTTCTTTTTCTTTTTTGTCTTGAACCTGAATAGGTCCAGCCAGTTTATGTTTTAGTAATACCAGTCCATACTCACCTCCATCTTGATGGTGTTTGAGTTGATGTGGAGCTTTGTGCCCCTTTTTTTTTCACATCATTACTCTTCTTGATCTATGGAAGAGGAATAGGACCTATGGAACAAAAAGAAAATGAATTCTGACTCGGTTCTAAAAATTCTGACTTCAATCAGTTAATTTTTTTTTCAGTGACCCTAATAGTCTCCTGTATTGATCAGCAGCCTTTCTTTCTGTTCCTCACTGTCTCCGTCCTTAGCTGCTTATAGCACTGAGTATCAGTCAGTAGCTTGTTAGCGGAAGTGAGAGCATGCACTAAATAGTAAAACATAGGTTCACAAAGTCTTGAGGAAGATAATTGGACTCCAAGAGTTTTTTTCCCATGTTGTATCTGCAAAGATTTGAAGCATTGAAATAGTTGAAGTGTTTTTATTTAGGGGTGTCACAGTAAAGTGGGCTGAAAGCAAGTCCACACCAGACTCTTGATTTTTGACATTGAAAAAACCATGTAATTTAATTAATTTAATTATGAATTACTTTCTCTTAATGTACTGAATAAACTTTCAATGAAATACTTTGAAATTTAGTTGAAACGTGATGAACATAAGCATATTCCTCTGTCTGGATATAAATATCTATAGAAAAGCAGCTCCTAAGAAAAGATCATTTCAGACATGAATGTATCTTGATAATTTTGAAGTGCTTTAGTAATGCATTGAAATGTCTTGTTTTTGTTTAATCATAAATAGACTCTGAAGTCTTAATGTTTGTTCTTTTCATTATGTGTCTGCATAAAGCAGACACACTAAAATGCTGCTTGCACACTAGTGATTCATGCGATTCTGACTTTACATTGAAATATGGCTCCGTATTTGAAGCAGCAGACTTGTCGCAATCGATCCCCACCAGCAAAGTTTTATGTATGGAAGGTAATCAGAGGACAGAGAGTTTGTTTAATGTTTTTCCAAACTGAATTTTGATTTCTGAGTCACTGCACCACCCACATGAAGCTGGTAATCGCAAGCTGAGCTCGTCATCGTTTGATCTCAGGCCTGCCCGCTTGATTTAGATGCGAATCAATCATCGCAGGAGTACGCTGGTAAACAGGAGTTTGTTGCCAGTGGAAGACTGACTCAAGTGATGCTCCAATTTTTTTTCTGAGACGTTAACAAATTTCCCATTTTTCTTGCTTCCCCTCAGACTCATCTGCCTAACATCAAAGTACATGCGTACTTCGCTCCTGTCACTCCGCCCCCCTCCGTCGGGGGCAGCCGTCAGAGGTTCTGCCGCTGCTGCATCCTGCTATGATGCAAAGACAAGCACCCCCTCTCCTCCCGCAACCTCCCGACTCGGCGTGTTCCTCCCCCCACCCAACGCCACAGCGTCTCATCTTCTACAGAAAAAGGATACAGAAAACTTCATGCTGGTGTGCCCGCTCTGCTTTCTTCTTTTCGGAGCTCCAGAGAACGACGGAGCACCAAACAGGATTCAAGATTCTGGATGAACTTCTCTAGAAACAATTTTGAGTCCCAAATCATACACGGTTAACACGAACATCGGTGGGCACATCAGTATTATTAAGAGGGGCTGTGTGAATAACAGCTGTGTTCATCCATGCTACAAGATTTTCCTTTCAATCAAATGAAGTATGGACAATTTAACCCCCCACCAAGTCAAGCTGAGGATTTTCACAAAGATCCCCTCCTCCCAGTTTTTCCCCTTGGTTTCAAAGGTCTCTCAAAAGCTACCTCTAAACAGGAACTGCACTTGAGTAAGACCAGCGCTTACTGATTATTTCAAAATAAAAGCAGCAGTGACATAGCTGAAAAACTGCCAACACCTCCAACAAACACACACAGCAGCAGAGAGCAATTATTTTCGTTCCTTTTAAGAATATCAGCAGCCATTTGCACTTTCAATGAAAAAGAGAAACAATAATCAGACATTTTACTAACAAACGCTGGCGCTCACGGCCGTTGTCCTCTCACCTCTCTCTGTTACAATCAGGCGCTTCAAGATACTGAAGAGAATAGAAACAAAAGTTGAAATATTTTTCTAGAACTCAGACTCACATGTCGGGACTTAAGAAGATGCCAAATGTTGCATGTAACTCCTCCTAGTCCTTTTTTTAATAAAAAAAAAAAAGTGTAAATATATAGGACTGCGAGTTGAAGCCAGCTAAGGAGCAGCAACAGGACAGTGACGTAAGTTGTGGGTGGAAACATCCACCCATCAGAGGAAGCTCCAGCAAAGTCAGAGCATGCTCGTTTACACACTGATCTGCTGGGGAGTTTCAGCCAGATCTCTGATTTGCTGGCTTGTTACAGCTTATGTTAACAACAAACTTTTCTTTTTTCGTCCCCCGCCCCGAGTAGAAGTGTAAAAATAAGACCCAACATCACTACTGGAATTCAAGCTGAAGGACAATGGAAAGATAAAGCCAACTTGAAAAAAAAAAACAATCCTAGATTGTCTTCTTTCAGTTAGTTTGAGTTCACTGAGTTGCTTTTTCTTTTACCTGGAGGACTAAGGAAGCGGTAGGGGTCGAGAGCCTCAGCTCCTCAGAGGCCCTGCAGGGATTCCTCCGGCCGTCTGGGACGAGCGACCTTGAAGCCGCTCTAAGAGAAAGCTGACTGAATCTGAGACCTGCAGTGGCGGAGCTTCTAAAGGACTTCAGCTCCGTGGCCCTTTGAAGTATTGAAGCCTTTTCTTATGAATCGCCCTGTCCTGCTCTCACACCTGCTTCATTCTATCGCTTTATATAAATGTTTTTTTTTTTTTCCCCTCCTGGCTGTAATTTCCTCTGAGTCTTTCCTCTCTTTGTTTTGCTGTGGTTTGGATTCTGTCTCCGTTGTGTTTGAAGCCATGAGTCCCGTCTCGGCGGAATGAGTTTAAGCCCAATTTCCAATCCCGGTTTTGATCTGATGGAGTTTGTTTTCATTAAGTTTGTTACTAAATGTGTAGCATTTGTCCGTGGGAAGTTTTGGCATCAGTGCAATTGTACTTTTTATTTTTTAAGCCACATATAAGTTGAGGTTAATGGCTATTATTGCTGAATGTTTTAATCGAGGAGAAGGATCTTATTGCAACAGAATGATTCTCATTTCCACCCACAAGCATTCTTTATTTGCCTTGTTTTGAGAAATAGAAATCCTTTACTCAATGTTCTCTGCCTAAATGCTTCAAGCAAAGTGACAAATAAGGATATTTGTAAAAAAATTTAATGTGCGTTGCAACAATTTGGCATTTGCCAAATCCAAAATTAGGATTCTGTTCAGTGTAAATTTTAAAATTTTTTTGGGAAGGGGCTTTACAAGAGTATTTATAAAGAGAGGAGTAGGAAAAGTTTGGAAAAGGTGACCGACTCTGTCTTTGTGCTCCCAAAGACAAGACTTTTATCTGGGATGTAACACCTGCTTGTCCTCAAGTTCACCAGTGCAGCTAATGGCGACGTGCTTTCAACCTGCTCCCGAGCGTTTCATGTGTATTAAAGAATATGTCATTTGATGCTTCAGAAAAAAAAAAGAAAAACACTACAAGTTCCACCTTGAACTTATTTTCCAGAGCAGTATCAAACTCTTATCTTTATATCGGCGCTCTATATCCCCTGGTTTACATGGAAGTTGGAGCCATCACGCTCCGGTTCTGTTTGTCTAATGCACGTTTTGTCCTAAACACTGGAGACAGGTTAAGGAGAAAGGCAGAAGAAGCTGAATCAACAGTGTCTGTGTCGGAGGCAGAAGATTTGACACCTCAGAAACATAAAAAAAAAAAAAAAAAACAGGAGTTTTGGAAGTGACTGTAGTTCATATATTTACTGTAAATCTTTTCCTTTTTTCTTTCTTTTTTTATAATTAACCAATATAAAGAAATATGTATGTATGAATAAATATATACCTATATTATTAAGACTTGTGTTTTTATTTTAGGTCTGTCATTGTTGATGGGGATTTAAGACAGCAGATGGCAGCAAAGATCAGGTTATGCTGATTCCATCATTGCCCAAACTTCCCCCACCCCCATTAATTTTTTTAACCCCCAGTTCAGTAAATTGACGTGGGATCAATTCTGATTTTGACTTGATTTAAAAAGTTACCCTTAGACTCTTGAGGACAGGCCACCGCTGATGTAAGCTAAATTTCAGAGTTTAATTTTTCTGTCCACTTTCTTTTACATGTCTCAGTAGCAACATTTTTAATCAGCAATTTTAAGTTCCAACAAATAACTGTTTAACAATATTAAGCCAACTAAACAAAGTGCCAAATATCTAAGAACCAATCAAACAATCTGCCAAATCTACTAAACTTTTGAGTAGAAAACTGAGGTGAATTGTGTGAGAGTTTGTTTTGTTGTTTTTTTCTGATTCGAAAAAGCTGGCAGTTTCAGCACAGCTTAGCCATTCATAGAGTTTGTTCCAGAGCTGAACCAAAAATGTTTGATCCTGTCTCCCTTTTTAGTTGCAGTCCATAAAACACTAAATAAAACTGTTCTCTGATGGAATTGAGATGATTTAAACCAGTCAGGCAAGAGTGAAGATGAGTGAAAGCTCAAGGTCATTCAGTTACCTTAAAATCTCCCCTTTCTTATAAATAAAAATCCCAAACAGAACCCGGTTTTACTTTTTTGGTGGTGTTGGTAAAGACTCCGGCAGCAGCATTTTGGTGCGATCTGTGTTTTTCAATGTCCTGCTTTGACATTAACTAATTTTTCCTTTGCTAATGGACTTTATGCTGATTTTATAATTAATGGGAGAGGCAGGATGCAACTTTCCAGTCCACATCACAGAGCAACACAGAGAGAGCACACACACACACACACACACCACACACCCCCTCACACACACACACACACACACCCACACACACACTCACACACACACACACACACACCCACACACACACACACACACACACCACACACACACACACACACACACTCATATCATGGGGCCAATTTAGAGAGACCAATTACCCTAACAATCATGTTTTTGGACAGTGGGTAGAAACAAGTACCTGGAATGAAAGCAGACAGAAACATTTCTGATCAAGAGAAAGACCCTGACTTTCCTGCTGCAAGGCAACAGAGCTAATCACTGCCCCTTTGGGCAGCCCTGATCTGAAAATATGACACCTTAATAATTTTACTCATTTAAAAACGTAGGTATAAGATCCCCTTATCTTTCAGAGGAGCAATTTTTAGTTTTTTTTTTTTTAATTTAATTTTTTGGCAGCTGGAGAACGGAATTTGTGTTAAGAGGATATCTCCTTCGCAAAAATAAAACTAAGAGCACAGATTGATGGCTGCAGACTTGAAGTGTCTCTTTTGGATATTTCTGTCTTTTTGCTTAGATTATTGTGTCTGAGGTGAAAGCACAGATGAACAATTGGTGCCAATTTATCCCAGAGGACTCCCAAAGTGCAGCAGCTCTGGTCTTGCGGATGCACCATGGCGACCGCTGTCACGGCTGGGATCTGTCTTCCACCACATGAAGCTCATTTTGTTCCTCCAGTCTTCCTGGAGGAACACTGGAGTCTCTCCCCTGTTTCCAAATCACCAAAGCTGAAAGTGTGTGTTCCACTCCTGTGTTTAGGGCTCATTTTTAGACGGAGTTATTGTGGCACCTGGGGTATCACACAGAGAGATGAAAGGAAGGTGGCTCAGTGGAAGAAATGTAAATCTCCCCCCTCTCATTCAGTTGTTCTGTTGTTCTGTTTTTCTGAGTTTGTACACAGATGGTTTGGAGCACAAATCATCGCACGCCAACATATTGTGTCCCTGTTTATTTTTAACAGCAAAGGCACTGCTATAGAAAAAGTCTGCTATTTTTTCTCATTGTGCTCATTGTTTCTCACTCTGCCACATGCTGTCTCTTGACTCTGTGTGAAGATATAATTAATATTATGAATATCATGAACCGTCTTCTTCACACACAACCAAAGACTTTCTGACTACAAACTTTGATGTCAGGCTTTGGTGAAATAATGTAAAGAAAATGCAAAAATAACAAAAGTAAGGGATGCTTCTTACATTTACAAGTGTCGATCATCTTTTATTTCCTACTTTCATGACAATAATAGCAGCTGCTACTTGCCATAAGAAAATTTACTTTCAGAAGGTGGCCATTTTTACTTTTACCTCAGATTTAGAACAGACAATGACCTATTTTGCAACTGTAATTATTCCTGTGTAAGGGTGTGCAGGCACAAGCTGTGTTTACTGTGACACAGAAATGGTAGCAGATGCATCTCTGTGTTGAAAACATTTCAAAAATAGTCCAGCAATGTGGATACTTCTTATTTGACTGAGTCATGTAGAAATTGATGCTTTTCATAGTTATTTGTGTGACTGATGCAATCATTGCAAACATGTATGCCGCTTGAGCTTATAGTCAGACACTAATAATCAGTTTGTGACAAGCTCAACACAAAATAAGTGGTTCACAAAAACATTTACAAAGAAAGATCTGAAAGGTTTGCAATAAATTTGAGCTTTCCCCCTTTACGCTGATGCTCCTGAATAAAGTCCAATGTGAATGAATAGTTGTCTTGAGATGTCACTGACTTAGTAAATAGAGTAGGATTAGGGATAAGGGCCAGAAGTGTAAAGGAAGATGAGATTTTAAACCAAATTTTGAACATCTCACAAAGTGCTTGAAACTCTAATATGAAAATGGAAGGAGAATGACACAGGTGTAACATTGCAATCAGCCCTAACTAAACTATTTGGTAAGGAAAGCATTAACTAAAGATGCATCAAGGCCCATGGAACTTCAGAGGGAGACATGCACAACTCAATGCACCTCAAAAATGTGGCCAAAAACAAGTACAGCTTGCTCCACAGAAAACACGCAGAATACGATACGTTCGGAAAATGAGAACAAAACTGAACTTTTTTGCCTATATACAAAACAGCAGGTTTGGTGTAAAATTGGAAACCATCCTGACCACACAGTGAGACATGAAGATGACAGCGACTTTTCATCAGCACTGACAGAGACATTGATCAGAGTTGAAGGGAGATGGATGTAGCTAAGCTCAGGGCAATCCTGTATGGAACGCTGTTAGAATAAAATAAAAGTTTATAGAGTAGCTTTCAGATTTTATTGGTAAAAATTACGTAATTATAGACAATTTTGTTTATAATTTTAATATTCCAGTAAAATACATGGAGCCATGGGGGTGTAAATACTTCATTACACTATATAGACTTAGACTTGTACTTTATGAGGTGAGGTTATGTTTTGTTTGGTTTTAGTCTTCAAATATGGAATGTAGTATTAATAGAGAACCCAAACCACATTTGGTTTAGCATAACTAAAATAACCACGGACGTTTAAATTAAAACATTCTGCCTAAGGACAATACATTCAAGACTCTATCAGCCAATTTGCCAATGTACTGTTGGAAAATTGGCTTGAATCTGTGCGTCGTTTCAAAGTAAATTATCTCTCTATGCCCTGATTGAGGGTTGAAATCCGCCAATCGTGCGCCTCAGACGCATGGAAAGGCGTGTCTCGGATTGCGCTTAAAATTATGTCTGTGCGTCTGAACTGCAGAGTTCGCTTTGAATCTTCAGCCAGTTGATTCCCTTAAATCTTTCGGAGGAGTCATTTATTTATATGTTATTTATTTATTTTTTAATGTTTTTGAGATTTGAGATTCACACCGCGAGGCTGTGCTGATCTGAATCTTTGTTGGCACCTGGAGAAGGGAATTTGTGCCACACTGGAGCTTTCTGGTGCGCGCCGGAGGACGATCCACGGGGCAATACAGAAAGGAGACGGAGCCTATGCTGAACGCATGTCCCCGCATGGCCTGAATACAAATAAACCAAAAGCAGCTGGTGTATGAGCTGCACCAGTCTCTAATTTACCCAACAAGCGTGTGATTGGTGTGGAGAGTCACCTCGCAGGAGCAGCAGCAGCAGCGCACTCTCCATTTTACGTGGATCTGCTCTCTGCCGGTGTTTCACGTAAAGCAGTAAAACCACGCCGACTGAATCGAGATTGAGGAGCTAAAAGTTTTTTTGTATTCTTGCTTGCATCGACCTCCTCCGGCTCGGTACCAATGATGACTGAAAACAGTGAGATGGAGAGCAACTCGCAGCTCCAGCGCTCCCCAAACAACATGCCCATCCAGCCGATGTCATCCAAGGCAAGTTGCGCAGATTCTTCAGTCTTTTATTATTCAGGTGATGCATGTTTCCTCTTGAAACATGAAAAAGAGACACTTAAAATCAGTCCAAACTTTGCAAACTGTTCCCGCCATTATCCGATGGGAATTGGCTGAATAGTGAAATTTCTTTGTTCATGCTTTTTTAGCGTCTTTTTGTTGTTTTGTTTTATAATTGATCATGAAATGAATGGGGGTGACAACTTTTCACAAATGCAGTTGTATTCTTGTGCCTGCGTCACTAGGTGTAATCTCCCACGTAACGACTGATGTCACTTTCTCCCGTGTACGTTTCTTCAACACACGAGTTTTTTTTTTTTTTTTTTTTTTTGAAGAGGTATTGTAATCTTCTATTTTTGGTACAAATAGCTAAAGATAAATTGTGACCTTGAAAGCTTCTGCATGTGCAAGACTTTTTTTTGCTCAATAATTATCCAGCCTATTATGCTGCTCTCACTTCTTTCCTTTTGGAATTTACACAGGAATATGCACAAGTGAAAGCTTCACAAGTGCAGATTTTGACTTGAACATGCAGCTGTGGATCATTTTCCCTCTATGTAGGCCTATCTGTCAGGGGCCTGGACTCATTATAAAGTGCCTGTGATGCCATTTGAGTTGTTGACTCAACTGTTTAAACAAAGATGTGGAGCTGTGAAAGCTTTCATGTTGCCTGCTTTTTAATGGCAGAACACTGGCTCATTAATTTGCTTCATGGACAACTTTCCCTGGAGTCTTTGTCTCCACCTCATGCCTCTTCCCGATGCCCACACACAAACACTGCAGGCTGCACTTTTGAAGCAAAGTGACACTCCGAAGTGATGCAGCCAGACACTCCACTGGATGCTCTGTGCTGCATCTAAATATTTGATGTCCTCTGTGAGAAGCTGACATTGCTGCCAGCTAACTGTGCTCACTCTGGAGCGATCCGCTCTATATCCACCCTCCTCGCCAGCTGAGACCAAAGGAAATCATCAGTGATTCGACTCCAGGCTGAACCGACTGGTGTTGAGATGAACTGAACGCCAGCTTTGGGTTAACTACGTTCTAGCTTTAATGACAAAGTCATGAATTTTGTTCAGTGTATCCACTCTTCACATTGATTAATGCAGTCTTGCTTGAATTCCATTGCTTTGTTTGAAATTCACTTTAATTCAGTGTAGAGTCGGAGATGAGTATTTACCAACCACAGACTTGTTCTGGTTTTGCATAATTTGTCACACTTGAGCAAATTTTTAGTATCAAATAAAGATAACCTAAATAAATGAAATAGCATTTTTAAAAAAGCACATATTCAAACTAATTTGGACCTAATTGAGAAAGTAATCACCTCATAAAATAACTGGTTGAAACCTTGTCTTGCAAAGATTATTTTAATCTCAGTAACAAGGCCTGACTACTATCAGCCTTGTGGCACCAGAAAAGAACAAAGCCTATTTCACAACAGGGTTTGAAATGGCCTAGTTAAAGTTTAGACTTAAATTCAGCGAAGGCACTGTTGCATCATCTTAAGAAGGCAGGTGATGCTCAAAAACCCTCCAATATGGCTGAATTAAAACAATCCTACAAAGAATTGTGAGTCAGAAATGTTTTACACTCATGTAAAAAAAAAATTCTATTCATTTATTTTGCATAATAAATAAATCCATAATTTAAAACTGCATTTTGCATTTACCATGTTATCTTTGTCTTTTTAAATTTGCATAATAATCTGAACATGCAAATTTAACTAAAAAAAACAACAAAAATGGAAGTAATCTTTGCAGAGGTAAATGCAGTTTTACAGCTCTGTTTATAATAATGAAAGTCATCTCAAGGCACTAATTAAAATTAATTTATATTAATTTCATCCAATTACATAGATAAATTTAATTTTAATTATAATATAGTTATTCAGATTCATGTGATATTATGTCGGCTATTAAAGAGTTATCTCTAAACAGATTGCCAAGTCATTCATGCTGCTGCAATCCCTCATCCTGATGAAATATGCAGTGACAGTGGGAGGAGGCAACTCCCTTTTCACAGAAAAAATGTCCAGCAGAAACTGTCTCAACATTGGTGTTTTTCCTGCCAGGCCCAGTTCTTCCAAACCAGTTCCAGTGCTAAACTGGTGCTAATGCTTGTTTTACACCAACTCTTTCTGTTTCCACCACCAAAAACTCTGGCACGGGAGCTGATAACCTGCTGCTATCTTGGCTCTAACTTTGAGTAGGATCAGAGAAAAGATCATCAGCGGCTGAGGGCAGAGTCATGGACACAGAATATTAAGATGTTACGAGCGTAATATTTTAAAGCCCTGAGTAAGACAAAAAAATAAACAAAAAAAGTCCAAAACAAAAGCAGATCAACTTTTGGGTAAAAATAAATAACCTTACCAGAGTTTAGATTGCAGTATTTATTATTTTGTAACCTCATTGGCACTTGAGTTTCAATTTGTATCTACAAAAGGAGCTTATAGTGGAAAACTTGCAAATTATCCATCAGGGTTCAAATAATATGCGTTGTTAAAGTCCCAGTCTCATGTCTATTTAAAACACCTAATCAGGAGCATTTCTGAAATATAAATCTCATCCACAGGAGGTAATTTTGAAGTAATCTAATCAGACTCAGACATGTGTCCGTCTCTTAATTGGACAGGAAAAGACTGGCAGAGAGAGTCTCCACTAGCAGATGCTCTGAGAAATCCACTAGCAACAAATTCCAACAGAGATGGATATCAAAAAAGAAAAAAAAATCAAGGACAGCTGTGTATGCTGCCAAAATGATTCAGGGGACAGTCAGGAAGTGTGGACTTTCTCTGCAGCATCCAACAATGTGCTGCCAATGTTGGCAGGAATGTGAGCACAGCAGCCAGTGATGTTGGTCTGTGTTGAAAGCTGTTTGGTCTCTCAGGGTATTTGATGCTGTTTGAGCGTTTCATGAGAGAAGTGTGAACAGGTAAACCACTTTTCTCCTCATGTAAACAATACGCCTGGGAGTTTTTGACCACTGTCAACAACAACACCAAATGTGTCTGCCCATTTCTCCTGTTGATTGGCCCATTTCTTTTTTGCCAAAAGACGATAATTTCACAAATGATCTAGTGTGCACTCTAGAATGTTTATTCATATAAAAAAAAGTCACGCTGAGTACAGCCTTTCAGCACAGCTGGCTCAGTGCAAAAATATGGAGGACATTCACCATGTGTGAAAGTGACTGTTGGTCCCGATTCCAAATCTAAATTACATGAAATTATAATCACAATCATTAAAATTAGACTTCCATCTAGTGGCATTCAAAGTCTGTGGAAGACCACTTTACTCATAAGAAAATACATTGTTGGCATTGTATGTTTTTAAAAGGCTAAAAGAGTTCTACATAATCTAGAAATGGTGAAAGATGAAATATTTATTAAAGCACTATGACTGAGACAAAGCTCTTCCCCAAAAATATATAAATAATTCCAAATCCATATTAAACCACCTAAATTCATTTTCCATTAACCAAATTTTGTGAATAAATTGTATAGTTTGCACAAATTGTTAATTCAAGTGAAGTTAGCAATGTTTTTACACACAAACTGCAATTTCATGTCACACGCTTTCTCTCTGTGTGTGTATGCGTGCGCATGAAATAATGTTGCAGCATCACTAATCCTTACATCCCTCCTGTAAGTAGCTGCTGAGACATGATACTAAAGACCACAATCTTCTCCATGCTATCAGTGGAATTAAATCAAAATGTCTGGAAGCTCCAGGGACCAAAAAATGCCTGCAGAACTGTGTTAGCACCAAGGAAATCCAGAGACCTCATGATGGTCTAGCTTCATCCTTTTAAAAAACAGGGAAAGGAAACTTACTCTACAACAGTGCAGTATTCACTTATTCAGCTGAGGTGTTATTAATGATCTACCTGCATCATAAAGATTACTACAGTTTCTGATTTCCAGAGTTTGCCACTGAATCAAATGACTCTTTGAAAGGACCCTCTTAAGTTCACTTCAGATCTTGTTAACGAACACCTCACTTACTCCCCGAATGAAGAGGCTGCGACACTGATTTTAACTGATGTAGGCGGTGAGTCAGGAGGGACTGCAACATGATATCATTGTGTCATGTGCCGACCTCGAGCGCGCTTTACATGTCACGTCAGTACATTTTAAATTTTCTGCATGCAACCTGGGGAAGAAAAACTAACCTAAAAAACCTGCAGGTTAGGGTTAACTCAGAAGAGACAGCTTGATGTGAAGCTCACAAACAGCCCTGTGATAACATTTTCATAATCCTCTTTGGCAGCTGAAGGAGGCCAAGGTCTTTCTTAATTAATGATCGCACCTTCACTGCTGTGATCGTTATTGATTTGACACTACAATAAAGGTGTGCGCCTCTGAAATATTAGAGTCTAGGTCAGAAGGACAGAAAAGATACGTGGTGCTATGAGTTTCTCCTCCATTAAACAATCCTTGAAACGTCAATGGAGAGAGATGGCGTGTGTGTGTGTGTGGTTCTGGGTGAATGAGCTTGATTGATCGTGTGTGTACAAGCGTTTGTGATAGGAGAAGAACACTGGAGGCAGCCAGTGATTATGCATTGCTTATCTCATATTCATAGCAGGAATCTGCCATCCAGCCATGCATAATAACCAATTTTAGGACATGGAATGGGTCCACACACTGTTTTCTTCTGAAAGACGCTTTCTTTTTCTTTTTTTTATAGGCTTGAAACTGATTTTATGATAGGTGAACATTTGTAGAAATGCTGTTATGTTTTTCTTTTTATGTTCACAGGGTAAAGTTTAAATACTTTGTGCTCTACTTTTGAGATATAATTCCCTTTAAACTACATATTCTTCCACTGACCTAGAATTGGTGTGAGCCAGGAGACTGTCTTTCACAGCACATTTTCACCAAAGTTGGTTTCTTAAAGCTGAAATATCCCCACTGAGAACAAGGTCAGACACAGTGACGTTGATCATGTATTTGACTGTGGCTGGTTAAAGGGAACCTTACTGCCTGTATACACTGATAAGAGGACTTTCTCATAAAAAGCACTTTGGACTTTATGCTGTTCTAATTGGATTAGCTAGAGGACTATATCCGCTTCAGTGTTTCTTTTTCTTCCCAATATATTCTGAACCACTACTTTTCTTCCAGTGGCACAGAGGGATATTTCCACATTTTAAAAATGGAGATTGATATTTCGAAATATGAAATTGAGAAATTTGAAAAGAGGGCGGAGGGAGCTTTAACATTCTCTATAAGACATACCACCAAGCAGCAAAAATTGACAGATACGTCAACAGTAAAAGCATTTGTTTGAAAGTGCACATTTTTTGTTGCAGTTGCATATGAAAACTGTGTGAGAGTTAGTTGATTCAGTGAGAGTTAGTTGATTCAGTGATCAATGAATAAAATGTGCTGCACTCCTGAGATGTCTGAAAGCCGTCGGCGAATTGTGAAGAAAAGCTGTTTATATCTGCACCTTCCTGATAGCATCAACACTTTATTGTTCAGTCGTGACCTCCAGACACATTCAGAGATTCCATAAATATCTCAGTCTGACCTCATTAAATTTTAACGGATGCTCATGTCTGTGTTCAGCAAAAGTCCTATTATTGATTTATAGATGTTCAGACTCTGCTGTCTTCTTGCAGAGTCTTGATTTTTGACATTTAGACTGAAAACGTGAGTCCTGTATGTGATTGGTGGTGGACTCATGCAGTTCTTGTGGATGCAAGCAGAACTTAGATTCCCTTCAGCATTAAGACCTTTCGTGTTAGAAGAATAAAATAAAGGTATTTTTGGGGTGATTTTTTGCTTTTAGAAGCAACTACTGGACCACAAAAATAACTTACTGCTGGGGTCAGCTCCATCACCGTAGGACCCTAAACCAGATGAAATGGCTATTAATGCATTAATTAATGATTTACTAATAAGAAGACCTACCCGAAATGCTTTTCCCACTTTCTTTTGGGAGCTATATGCTTTTTGATGAGTGTAAAGATATTAGGCTTGATTTACAACAAGATTTTGGAAATAAACCCAAGCTGTACCCTGAAGCAAAAATATCTCTTTCTCTGTCCAAACTCACTCTTTCTGTTTTTGAATTAAACATTCTGGATAAATTTATGTAAAAATTGCCTGTTTTCATGTATATTTATGTAAATTACATTTACTTGATTACCAAGAGCAGGATTCTCAAACAAAGCAGACATGTAAATATTTTTTATTTTATTTTTGTATTTGGAAATTTACTGAATGTATTTTCTCCCAGATCCATTGTGAGGCATGTCGCATTCTGCAAATTATTAACATCTCTAGATGTTCAGTTCGTTTGTGCCACTAAATACAAACCTCAGTCAAAAATTGTGCCAAGTGGAAAAGATGTGCAAAAACTGGATCTAAACACAAAAATGGAGCAGTCCATGTGAACCTGGGCTTTTGTTTCGTACAACAAAAGACTGGTTAATGCAGGAATTGTTACTTTACAGATGAAAGTGCAGGAAACATTACTTTGTCATTTGTGCCTCTTTCACTTTTGCCTTTGATTGCGTGAAAGACGGATGCAGTGTCTAGAAGTACTTTAAGGGGAAACATGCACCTCCCTAATGGCTCTGGCTCTAAATGGCATGCATTGGAAGCATCAGTTTCTCTTCCAAAATAAGACAAATTTGATGATTTCCCCCTCTGGTATCATCAGCAAGAATCACCCTCTCTGGTTTCTGTGCCTGAAAACCTTTCTATTACTGGCTACATTCAAAAAGCTGACTTGATTTGTATGAAATCGAGTTATACTGCTTTGCCACAATGACTTTGTTCACGTGTTAAATGCCTCCTCTGAACCCATCTCTCTTCTTGCCATGTGAGCTTCTCACCTGTCACAGAGATTCATGTGAGATGGCGCAGCGCTGCCTCCCTTTCGAGCATGAGGTCACTCCGGCTTTGACTCCATAGTAGGATACGCTCACATAATGCTCAAATGAAGGGTTACGGGAAGGCTTTTTAGAGCTGCACACTGACAGTAATTGAGACATGTGCTTCAACCGGTGCTGTTATGCTACCACTCGACTGCTCTGATTATGAGCTCGGCTCCAGCTGGAAATAGACAGAGTTGAAAAAAAAGTGAAGTAAATAAAGATATTAAAGACTTAAAAAACATTTACTGATGACTGGAAGGGAGTGATGAAACTGAATTTATTTAGACCCACAGATTCTTTGTATTCATATAAATTAGATTTGTCTGGCAAAGTGCCTTGAGATGACTTTAATTGTGAATTAGCCCGTTATAAATAAACTGAATTGAATTAATTGTTTAAGCATTAATAATGAGGATGGGGCAACAATCAGAGCAATCAGTAACAACCACTTTGAACAGACTTTGTTGTTGTTTTCTTTCAGTTGTTTGTATGAAAATCAAATTATAACCAACATCAATGCACTGTAAAGGAGAAAAATCTGTTTGTTCAAGGGTAGTTTTTAATTACAAAGTGAAAAGAAATGAATTGCAATTGTAAGAGGTTGTTTTTTTTTTGTTTTGTTTCTTTTTAAAAAAACAGACTTGGATAAATATGCAGATGGAAACATACACACAAATTAATGGACAGACATAAATAAATTAGTAAATTATTATCAAGATTTGGAATATACCTAAATCAAGTATCGAAAGTTCATATGTTTCCATACTTTTCCAAAATATCTGAAAAAGTTACCTGTTAGTTAAAGGTTTTTATAAAATACAGGCAAAAGAGAAAAATCCAGTCAGAGAAAAGAATCTACGAATGAATGTGACACATCAAACGCATGCAATTGAGATTTATTTTAATCAAGCACAGCACATTAAACAATGTGACATGATAAAAAAAAAAACAGAGCAATCATTGTAATGGACATAGATTTTCTAGTCACAGGCTAATTTGCAAACCCAGTCCTTGGTTGGACATTTGTTCAAAGACAGCAAAAATAAAATTAAGATTCATGTTACCTGAGTTCTATGATAGTCAAGGGGAAAAATACATATTACATTCTCTTTTTTTCTATGAATAAATATTAAAAATACCTAGGTTAAATTTCAAAATTTTAGCAATAAAGTGCCGCCAACAGCAGAAAACCCTAAGTGCAAACAGAGCTGTAACAGTTTACGACAAACAGAGTATTCATCGGTTTATTCTAATGAGGTTATATTATCCAAATGAAATTATGCAGGAAACATATGGAGAGAACTAATGCACTCACTCTTTAGTCTCTGTGCATTTGCCTCTGTGTCCCACACACAGATGCATACTCTCAAATAGACAAACTGTCTTCATATCTCATTACCAGACACACCGAGCTGCAAACAACATGTCCCTGTAAAGTGATTAAGTTTGGCACCGAGCAGAATGAGCACAAACAGACGGTGCATCTGCGCACATAGTGTCTGCATTGCTCTGATTATCTGTCTATGTGTCTGTCTGTTTGACTGTGTGTGCAACACCACTCTTCCCCTTCAAGAGGACAGCTTCCTCGCTGACTGAAGCGGCATGTCAGTGTGCATCTTGAGCATATGCGTGTAAAGCTGCGGGCAAATTTCTAGAAACGTCCATCCATCAATCAATGCCAAGCAGCTGCAGCTCACTTTTTAGGAACCTGAATCAAAACACAGCAAAAACTGCCGACATTCAACTTTTAGTGAATTACTGTAAATTTTAGTAAAAGATGTAAAAGAAAAAAACAATAATGCGATCAGAATGTATTTATGACAAGCTGGTTTTAACAAAGTGCCAACAGACTTAAAATTAGTTCTTCTTAAATATTATTCTCAAAACAAGTGAAGAAAGTGGTGAAAGACCTAAAAATATCCCATTTAACACCAATTCAAAACTTTTTAGAAATATTTTGCTGAATGAGATTTTGGGAAAGACTTTTACACGACAGAATTTTGCTGTAATGTTTTGATTTAGCCTTGTTTTCTCAGTGCAAACCTTTTATGTCATCAGTTGTACTAGCAGCATCACTTGAATATGCTGTTAACACATGATAACACTGCGCAAACCTATTTGGTTTAATGACAACGCCTCTCTTTGACCACTACTAAAGAAAATCATTTACACGCAGCAGAGTTCAATATATAACAGCAGGTGGTCGTAAAGAGAATTGGCTTATCTTGTTTAACCATGAACCAATCGTATGAGGAACATTTTGTCTCACTTACGAGAACTTTGAAACTTTGCTATTAATATTTTATTCACATGAGGTAATATTGCGTGCTATGAGTCACCCTATTTCCCCAATGAGAACTGGTGCGAGCATGGCATTTTGTTTATGGATGCTGGGATATTGCTTGTGCTGTCCTGAGGGTGCATTCAGCATGTGTTATTGCCTCCTGCTCAGCTTGTGTTTATCCTCTGTTTTTCTTTCTGTCTTCGTCAATGTGTGCAGCTCCAGAGATTGAAACGCTCACTATCCTTCAAGACCATGATGCGCAGCAAGAGCGTGGAGAACTTCTTTCAGAGGTCCTACAGCGACGCTCGCCTGCCCGCTGACTTTATCACTGACCCGCCACCGCCTTCTCCCCCACTGCCACCCGGCTCCCCTCTCGTTGGCGAACGCTCACCCTCCATTTCACCGTCTCTTAGCCCCAACCCCTCCATCTGTTCCCACTCACCGTCTCTCAGCCTTTCTCCATCACTGCCTGCAAAGCCTCCCCAAGCTCAGATTAACCACTGTTTTCAGGACCACATCTTTCGGAAGCCCACCAACTGCCAGCACTGCAAGCACATGATAGTGGGTAAGGTGCTAAAGCTGTTCCCGCAAGATTACGTGATTTCATGTTGCTATATTTGGCACAGACTGATGACCATTTGGGGAGGGGAGGTAGGAATGTATATGCAACAGAACACTTTGAGGTTAAAATGTGCATTGAGAAACAAATCTGGGCTTTCTGCTTTGTGTATTCAGGTCAATGGCATCACAAGAGGTAATAGAGAAGTTGATCAGCAGGCATTAGCAAACAATTTTTTAAACAATTTCTTATGTGTTGTGCAGCTTTTGAGTTATATTCCAGTTTGACCTGAACCTCTTTTGCAAACCTGATCCATGTGTTGTATTGTTGCCAAATTTTACTTAAATCCAGGCAGTGACCTAAACCCTCAATGTTTGTTTTTGCTTCACAGAATATTAGGAAACAGCCTTGGTTTCCAAACATGGAAATAAAGAAAAACGATTAAGTAACCTGTTTCAATTGTATTGTACCTCTTGTGATGTCATCAGAGACCCAGAAGCTTGCTTTTGGCGTGGTAGACGCAACTTAAAGAAAACATCAAATGGATCATGACATGCTGTTCTAGATGTCGAAAGTCAGTTTGATTTGTCTTACAAAAAGTCTAACTTGTAGTTTTAAAACCTTGGATAAGTTGTACAAATAACCTTAAATAGAAGGTTAAAGAATGCGTGCAACAAGTCAAACTGTTTTTTATTAGCTGACAAACTTTCAAACAACCAGATTTGTTTTGGCTCCAGTTAGTGGACATTTAATTAAAACTGACTCATTTCTTCAGTGCAGCTTGTGTGCAGTTTTCTTTTATCTCTGCCTTGCTGCTCTTATGAGCTAACAGCTACTAGTATTTCTCCTAAATGTGTTTTCTGTCACTATGACTGATTACAGTCTCCTACCTGCTCCCCTGTGTTTGTGTCCAGGCTGTTGTTTTGCATTCATTGTGGGGTTTATTTATGTAATGCATCACTTTTCTCTGGGTGCACTCATCAGCAGTCCTCAAATAAAGTCTAACCTCCTTTTTCCTTGTTAAGCTGATTAAGTAGAATCGATTTTCTTCTTTAAAGTTAAAACTGTGCTTTCTTAAAGCCCTCTAATTTTTCTCCTTCTTTCTTAAGTAGTTTGTTGATGTTATCTTCATCTGCAGCAAATTCAGAAATCACTCTTCTTTGGTTCTAAAATAAAAACAGGTTTTTGCCTCTTTATGCATATAAACATTATAAATAGAGATTATCTCATCAGAAAACAAATTAGGAAGACAACATCTGGAGGCTGTTTTTTTTTTTATCATTCCAACACTTTAAGTGAAAATGAAAACACTTGATGAATCATTCCTAAATCGATTATGTCTGAAATATCTCCAGCTGCTTTTCAATCTTGCCATAATTTAAGAGCTGTTGATTATAAGCTGTTAGTATTTGCAGATGCAACAGTACAAAGCTTGATAACCTGAGCAGACACAGATCTGCTTCTATGATCTGTAGGCCACTTTGTTCTTTTCACACTTTTTATGCACCCTGCTGCTTCAGTGTTTTTTTTTTTTTCTTCTTTCATTGTGGCTACATCAATGTCCATTTTCTGTCTTTAATTCTTTGTCTGACTCTCTGTAGGAAACTCCAAACAAGCTCTGCGGTGTAAAACATGCAAGATGGCTGCTCACCTGTGGTGCACATCAGAACTCTCGCAGCAGCAATGCCATGGAAAGGTATACACAATCTTGTGCTGGACTTTAAAAAAAAAAAAAAACATTTACAGTTTCTCCCATATTAGAGATTCCTTGTCACAAGTGTGGGGAAAATATGTCCAAATTTTGCAATACTATAAACAAAAAGCTCCACACAAGCCTAATAAACATGAAAAATTAAACACGAGTCGAGGTGTTGATTACTGAATCTACCTTAAGAACATGCATTTGGCCTTGCATTGCAAAGCCAGTGCAAAAAATACAAATTAGACTTTAAGCCCGCAGTTTATTTAGAATAATTACCAATTGATGAGCAAAATCCTGAGAAGAAATGTGAAGCAATGTGAATAAGCAACTTGACTACTTTTTCAATTAATATATTCAAACACTTCTTATACTCATTGTAACAATCTTGGGAAAAAGCTATTTGATCATTACCAGAACCATCTGGGTTTTGCAGCAGTAAATAAAATTTTAAAAAAGTACATGTCATAAAGCCAGAATGTTCAAACATATGACAACACAAAAAAATAATAATAATGAAAAAAAAAAAAACCCACCTCAACCTGGCTAAGAATTAAGAAATGGAAAGTCTAGTTAAACCCCAGAAAGACTGTTGCGGCTTTGTAGAGTCTGAGTAAGTAAGGTTGAAACCTTTGCAACTTCAGCTCTCCCTCTGTCTGATCTTCATCTGAAGTGTCTGTCAGGAAAAACGTCTGAGACTAGATGAAAGTACTTCAGAATCTCTGTAGGATATTAGCAAATTTCCCTTGCTGCTTCCTTTCAAACCTCACCATCTCTTGTCGAATTTTGCTGCCTAGTGTCACATCATCAACCAGTATAATTTATTTTTTCTGCAATGGAGGTGTATACTGCTTTACCTCTGGGATTTTTGTGGTTTTATTTTTCTTGCAGTTGTTAAAAATAAATGCATCACTCCAATCTGAAGTCACAATCAGTTTAGTCATCAAATATGGGTACTACTATCAAACAGACTTTCCACTTTTATAACCACATTTAATGTAACTGCTGACATGTTCATAGAATATTCATTCAGATGTCACAAGCCATGAATTATATTGGTTGACTTTGGATAAAAAAATTAAAAAAAATCCATGCACTTTTTAAATTATTTTAGACCAAACCATCATCAATTGCATTATTGCATTATCAATTGCAATGATAAATAGATTTGGTTGTCAAAAAAAAAAAAAAAAAAAAAAAAAAAAAAAAAAAACAATAAAAACATACTTTCCAAGGTAATCACTAATTTTCTCTCCAGTGATATCAAAGTTTGATTTCTAGTAACTTTTCTTGTGGATAGGCGAAAACATTAGTATGCAGGAGGAGAAGAGACCTTCTGAGAGCAACTGTGAACATTTAAAGAGCACTTTGTTGAAGACAGCTCACTGCAGTTTGACAGCTTTCTACAATCAGGAGGAGGATGCAGATAGTGAAAAGGGCATGGAAAGGTAAAATACATCTTATAATAAGGAGAAACATTTTGTTTTCTTTCTCAACATGGCAAAGAGACTCAGAGCGCCTAAATTTGCAAGTAAAGACAGAGACAAACTGATCTCAGCTGAGACACTTACTGTGCTTAATTCAGTGTGAAATTGCAATCACAGGGACTCACAAACACAGGCTTCCTTGTCCATGCTTGTATCCAAGCAATGCGTACACGAAAGTTGTCGAGTGAATTTATTGTCCACCATTGAAGGCAGCAGATAAATACATAAATCATTTCTTCTTCCTGCAACAGGTGCTCAGCTCTGGCAGCGCTCTCATGCTCATCGGTGTGCCTTTTTGTGTTTTTGATTCAGTTATTTTCATATGACTTTATTGAAGTCCTAAAATCGCTTCGCAGTTGAGTCCATTTTCCATGGTCCAGATCTGCACACAGGAAGTAATGGAAGCTGAAAAAGTCATTCTGCTTTCTGCTCTCCTCCATTAGTCCGGAGCATTCAAGCGAAACTTCAGCTCGCCGATGCTCGTCAATGACCAATTGGCTGTCGTCAAGGAAGTTCAGCCAAGCCAGGGTGAGCATTCGGAAAGTGCTTGTGTGCACGTGTGTGTTTGTGAAAGTGGGTGCACAGGTTTGTTTGCGTCTCTGTGCTTTTGTTTGTGACTTTGCTCTGTCTAGTGATTTGGGGTATTTTTAGATTTTTGTGCGCTTCCATTTGTACCGTAACAAACCCGGAGCCACCTCCCTCTCACCTTACAACCACGGAAGCATGAAGTGGGAAAAGATAAAGAGCAAGAACAACTTCAGACTTTCTGGGAGGCTGGTGGATGGTCTGCACTCTGAAAGTATGTGAATAAATATTTACAAGCTGTGATGTTTATGTTTTTTAATCTGTTTATGATTATATATATATATAATCCCGGACTGTTGAAGCTTAAAGACAGGCACAGCAGTTTGCATGTTTAAAATCTCAATAAACATTGAAATGCTTCCTAATTTATGATCAGCATGAGCTCTTTCCAGCTTTCTCCTGAGATGTGGTTACACCTTATAAATTAGGTTTTGAACACGTTGAATTTCCAAAGCCCTACTTTTACACCAGTGCCTAACAGGACTCCAAAATATTCCTTTTTTCTTTATCTTTTGATGAGCCACTGTTTTCCTTGGGGAAGAAACGAGAGGTGGTGAGGAGGGGTGTAACAATATATTCAGCTCATGAAGTGATACAATACTAAGTTCACAAGAATGAGTAAGAATACAATTTCACTAATCTAATGCTCCTGTTACACTTCAGCAGATCTGCCTTGCATTTCAATGCCATATGCACTGAGCTTTTGCTGTTGCATGAGGATAATGTTATTTATCCTCATGCTACAGAGTGCAGACTCTCTGTCTGCACTGAAGATAAACTTCTTTCACATCCTAAACTACTGAACTGACACCAGCAAGACTCACCTTTAAGATAAAGTCTGCTGAAAATTCAGCCAGTAGTTTTACCATTGTGGCAAGACTCAAATAATTAGATTTCAGTTGTTCACTTCAGTTATAAAAATGGAAATGAAAACTTAAACAAAACAGTGATAGCAACAAAAAGATTGATCTGGTGGCGTTCAACATTCTACTCCCTTGTTCCTTATACACAAACGCTATACAACACTTTAACTTTATTTTCACATCTTTAGCTGGCCTTCCTAATGAGCTCATTTAACTGCTTTGTCTCAGCACTTGAAGCTCCATGAAACCTCAATGTTCACAGAAGATGGTCTACTCTGTAAACACCATCATAGTTGTGGCTCCAATCAAGTTTATTGCTTAGGTAAACACTTCCTGGCTTTCACTAAAGTCTCACACTGACAGCAATTGGCCTGGGGCTTTGTGAGAAAACTTCAGTCTGAGAAGACATTTTGTGGTGTTTTAATATCGCAAGTTTTCAAATCATTGTATGTCGTTACACCCCTAGCAGCTACTGTAGTGCCTCATCTCGTGTGAATTACACAATGCTGACTAAGTCCCAGCATCTCATGCTGGGACGTTTTGTACAATTCAGGCATCAAGATTCACTCAACCTGCAGCTTCATCACCTCAAAGAATGGGTCTCTGCCAGGGCATGCTGAGTCTGCAATCTGTCAAACTCACAATGGCCTGCTACTTATTAAAATACAGAAGTAATGCTACTCTTGATTTCTATGATGTTTTTAAGACTGTAACAACATACTATGGTATTAAAATGTTAAATTGAATCTCTTGAAAACAAAGTCCATCCCTTTAAGAGTTATCCAGCTGCTCTTTGCATACGATTTGGTTGGATGACAAAAGTTTTCTATGTACTACTATCCACTCCACTCCATTCTCATTGATGGCTCAGGTGGTAGGAAAGAAAACTGTATGTGTTTCTTTGCAGTGCTGATAGTCAATAAATAAAGACTTCTTATCAGGAAAGTTAATAACTGTAAGTCATAAAACAATTTATTCTCCACTACTTTTAAATTTTTTATGTGATAGAGTGAGAGATCAGTTACAAATAACTCGTAAACACTGAGAGAATAACACAACTGGTGTTTGCACTAATTTACGGTTTTCATCAGTGTTAAAGAGCTATTTCAGTTTAATGTTTTCTAAAATTTATATTGCATATTTAAAAAAAATATGTTTTGGCATTAAAATTTGATGAGCACAAAACAATGTAATATTGACTAGTCAAACATGAGCTGATGTATGCTATACTAATGCTATAAAACACAAGTTGTAAGTTTTTAAACCTTTTTTTTAGCTTTATTAAGAACATGCCTTTTTTTGTTTCCTGTGTACCAATTATAATTTTTGTCTGAGTTCCAAGGAGAAAACCAGCAGATTTACTTTGACAAGTACAGAACTCTCCAAGAGTATGGTGAAGGACAGTTGGTGCTTTAGGTCGCAATCTTGTTTTCACAGTACAATGTGGGAGATGCTAAAACAAGAATCAACTTTTATGTTTAGATGCTAAGGTTACAGAAAGAAAAGACATCCAGAGTCATTTTCAATTTTCAATTCTAAGAGCATTCTGTGATTCTAAAAGTCTGTGAGCAAGGATTATTTAGACCTCTGTGATTACTTCACTTTGCAGATGCACTTCCTCCAGGGAAGTTTACCATTAAATACCTGTCTGATTTCAGTCTTGTGTCAGAATTTCAATTTTTCGGATTCCTGGTGAATTTTTCTGATGACAGCACAGTGGTATTTCATTCAGTATGAAATTGCAAATCGTTGCTGCTTCATCCTGCAGACATACACATGTGCAACTATAGCAAAAAACTCCAAACCTCTGCCTTCCATTCCACTTATGTCGAGGTGGATGGAAATAGGAGCAGAAAATCTCATTCCTAACCTAAAATGTGCTGCTGAAGCACTGAGCATTGCAGTCTACATGAAACGCAGAGATGAAGACTTTGAGGGGATTTCCATATTTTAAATATCTTATCTTATTCTCTTTGTACTTGCTACAGCTCCAGATATATCACAGCCCTTAAACTAAGACTCAGTAGAGTTATTAGACTGTCTTGATGTCTTCTTAACTTTTGGCTGCTGCGGACTTTCAGATATTAAGTGGGTCACTTTGGCCCAGGACTGAATGCATTACTGCTGTTATATTTAGCCCGCTTCCTCCAGATTCTCACAGGCACAATATCTATGATGTACAGCATTATCTCAGCGTGTCATCCTAATTGTGGCGTGTCGGCAGCAGACGCTTGGAGTTAATTAATAATTTATGGGTGTGATTTTTACTCAGGCGTAAATGTGTGTTTGTGTGGTGTGTGTGGTTTCAGAGGCTGCGCGGATGCGTGTAGACCCCGTGTATGCCGCCTTACGCTACGGGACGTCCTTGGCACAGATGAGCCGTTCCAGTTTTGGCAGTTTATCAGAATCACCAACACGCAGCTTGGTACGGCATCATCTCCCCAGTCAGTGAGGGTAGAGGACAGTTGAATGTGTGTCTTAGCCATAAAAATGGAGCTGATGGCTCCGGTCCGTTGAATCACTGACCAGGTACTGAGGTCAGACCTACAAATTCATAGTACAGAACATTTAGTAGGTTGTAAATTTCTACTGGGAGCTTTTCAGAGTCATTTTATGCTTCATATAAAGATATAAACGTGAAGCATAACGTAATATTTAGACAAAGCAATTCAAAATATTAAATAAAAAGGTTTAAAACCCTGCAGAGATGGTTACTACTACACTGTAAAACATTTGAAGGTAGTTTAATTTGCAAGTGAAAGTCCACCTGCTGCCTTGAAAATGCAACTTAAGTAAACAAGAAAATTGCATTAGTTTTAACTCAGAAATTGAAGTTCATTGAGTTGATTTAATTCCCTAACATAGTTTTTATTTATTATTTAATGTTGAATTGTGACTTTTAACTTAAGGTTACAATTTAAACCAAATAATTATTTCACATTATGCAAGAAAAAAAGTTATCTCATCTACTACAAGAGCACAAATTTCTCTATATATTTTACTCACAATATCAAGTTAAAATAACTACTTATTCAGCTCAGAAACATTTAGTGTGAACAAAACATTATCCCATAGCTTCGCAAACTGTCAGTTGCATTAAAATTAACATTTGCCTTAATAAAACACAAAAGTCAGATCAACGTTACACACTTCCATCTCAAGCTTCAAAAACAAACCACTAAGTACACTGGGAAATAGTTCCCACTCTGGGCTTTTTTTTCTTTCAATTTTTTTAGCTCTACTTTATTCAACTCTTGGAGCTTTGACAAAAGTAATAAAAAGCTAACACAACTTACTACTGTACATTTATCCCTTGGAAACTCACACATTTAGGTAAAAATCTAAAACTTGCTACATTTATTTGAGAAGAGGATAGACACAAGTAAATGCAATTCAACTTTTTTTTTTGTTAATGTTGCTTTTCATATATTTAGTTGTTTGCTTCACTCAATTTTTTCTGTTTTTTCACATTGACCACATTCCACCACTAAGAAGTTTACATATTTGAATGTTTTTTTTGTTTTGATATTTGCCATGTGGACTGGAAGTCTTCACTATTCCTTGGCTCTCCTTCACCAAATTATTGTTGCATCTTTTTGTACGATCACCTGTAACCATCTACACTTCACAAAAATGTTCCATCAAACAATTTTTAGTTTGTAACCTGAAAAAAAAATACGTTTTTACTAATGATTTCACTTAAAAATCCAAATCAACTCACCACTAAGTGAAACTGCTCACTAAATTTAATAACTGCTTGTTTCAGTTTGACAGTGAAGACGGTCATTAAGCACTTACAATAAGATGTATTTTTATTATAATTATAATTATATCAATATTTCCTGCCAAAATTTGAACCCCTCGTTTCTCTACCATTGTCATCTCTTGCAAAGTCAGCTAAGATAATTCAGAAAATAGTATTCTTAATGGAGGACAACAAACTGATTAGACATCTGTTGAGCAAATGCACGTAGTCTTTGGCAGGTGGGTGCTAACATTTTATTGTTTCCTCTTTATTTCATTCCTCAAGGGGGAGGGAGGTGAGGAGAGGCAGGAGAGACAGTGCAGCATGGAGGAGGAGATAACTCAGGAGACAGGGGGTAAATGCTGCTATGTGTATGTGAAATGTGCTGTGTGTGGGTCAATGTCTCTGCTGTGTTTACCTGTGCATGACTGCCTGCATGAGAGAGATATTTCATTTGTTTGCTTGTTAAAAAAAAAAAAAATTAAACCGCATAATTGTAAGGGTCTTTTATTTTTTGCTGCTTTTACAGAAATCCTCGCACCACTTCCAGATGCCGCCGTTCCAGAGAAAGAGATGGAAAAGGAGATGGAGAAGGAGGTGGAGCAGAGCTGCGAGCAAGCAGAGATTCCTGCAGAGGACAGCAGTTCAAAGGTAGAGCTCTGTTCAGTCAGCCACTCTGTGAAGGTCAGCCTTTGTTGTTTCATTTCTGGCATTTGTATTTCTATCTCACAACCCGAATAACGCCGTGTACAGGTGCCCAAGCGTATTGAAGTCCACTCCATCCACACCTATGTAGCACTCTACAGGTTCCTGCCTCAGGAGCTGAATGACCTGGAACTACAGTGAGTAAAAGCCAGACAAAAAGGATTTTTTTTTTGTGACCACATGACCGCAAGTGAGGACATGTGCTTGTGTGTCAGCATGTTTTGCTGCTTTCTGTGTTTATAGTTTCTCCCTAACATTTACCCTGGTGGTTATTCCTGCAGGATAAAATGTCCCTGTCAGTTTTAGAGGACAATTTAAAGGTTCCCCTAAGGACAATTAATTATAAATTTGGATCCCTTTGTTGTTCCCATGTAGAAGTAGCGTAGATTAGCTGTGCTCCAAGCAAGGGAGAAGATGGAGACAATGAACTACTGAGAAAGGAAAGAGAGACAAGGAAGGAAATTGCATAGAATAGTGAAAGTAAGAAATAGTCACTACAACCAAAGGGCAAAAATCAAAGTAAAAGTTCTGAGAGACGAAGGACAAAAAAGAGGATTGTGGGCAGACCTTGTGATGTGAGAGTATTCTGAGAGTGTATTGATAGTTAGAGGACAGCTCTCATAAAAGCAGAGCACCGAGACTGTTAAAAGCCATCTGTGATCCGGCTCCGAGTGTATGAGTACAGAATTTAAAGAAAGGAGGATGTGCTTCTCCCAGGTGAAGATGAAAAATTTTGCAACCGGTTTGGACAGCAGTCCGGTTTTATTTCAGTTCCCATGATTCACTCAGAAAAAGGATAAAGCACAAAATCCATGAATTAAAAACTAATGAGGTGAAATAAACACTGTTAACTCTGGCTCTCATTTTCTGAAGTGACCCTGTTTTTACTCAATAAGCAAACAATCTTGTACTTTAGACGGAAATAAGCACAATTTACAAATCAAAAATATATGAAAAATATATTTAAGAAACACAATATTGATACTCCAATTAAAACATCTGAGCATCTCCTCTAAGCACAAAAAGAAAATGAGACATATCAAGATAAGAAATGTGTTTGATACATGTTGACATGTATCAAAAACAATAATAATGAAAATATATGCAGATGTTGTAGATTTGGAGCCACTGTCTTATTTTGCAGTAAAAGTGCTTCTTCTTCCCATCAAGTATAGCTGATGTTTTCACAGTTGTGGCTTAAAGTAGGTTAATCCTACAGTTACCTTAAAGTTATATCAATATACTTTAAAAAAAATTGAAAAAATGGCTCCAAAATATATTCAATAACTCTATTTTAGCAACAATTACCAGAACAATATTTCCATGCATATTTCTAGAGTTGAGATTATGAGTGTGTGATATATGATATTATCTCACCCTATAACACACTGTTTAGTGCTAAAACTCAGGAGAACTGATGTACAGACAAAAAATTGGAGCATAATTCCTCCCAGTGTATCTGAGATGGTGGCGGCTGCAGAAAAGGGTCTCATCAAAACCCAGCAGCACAATAAAAATGCAGGTTGGGTCGGCTTGCTGACGGACCCGTGTTTTCATCAGCGCTGCGGCAGGAACCGCACCGTCCAAAACGTATAACTTATGACTCTCGTGGCTTTGTCACCTTTGTAAAAAGACACAAAGACTCGGCCGCATTTTAACTGCCTTGGCTTTGTAACCATGGGCTCTACAGCTTTTTGTCAGTCAGATAATATCATCTTTTGTGCTTCAGTTAAGCTCGCTTTCTGTGCTCTTACAGTGCCTCATCTGTTCGCCAGTCATCCCCCATCTTGTCTCCTTCTCCCTCTTTTTTCCCATCCCAAACATGCATCTTTTTAAAAACTCATGTTTTTTCCTCCAATAGTCCTGGTGATCGGGTGCAGGTCACAGACGACTCTAATGAGGAGTGGTGGAAGGTGGGTCTCTGTGTGTGTGTGTAGGTGTGTGCTTGTGTGTGTGTGCATGCACACATTTGCGGCTGCTTCTTTGTGTCACTTTGGGTGTCCAAAAAGGTGTGTGAATGCATATTTATTGTGCACATGTGCTAATTCAAGTCTTCAAATCAAACCTTTAGTGCGTAACACCTGCTCCATTTTTCATAAACATGCAGGCACCCACTTTCTGAAATAGAACATAATTTCCTCTGAAAATTACCAAAAGAGTTTAGCATAATGAACATGACTAGTGTTTCAGCCTCAACAAGGTGTTTATTGAGTCAGTAATGAGCTTCACACACTCCCAATGGAAAAAATGTTAAAGTGTGAGAGTGCGTGTCTTTGTATGTGTGTTTCAGTTCCAGACGAAAAGCAAAATTGACTTCTACTAAATGTATTTGTATTTGCTTCACATATAACTTCTGTTTCCACATATAAAACAGCAGCCTCAAAATACCGTCAACAGATTCTAGAGCAAGGAATCTTTAAATTATGTATGATTTGTGAACCATCTGTTCATTACAAAGGCACTTACCGTCACTTTGCATCAGCCCATTCAGAAAATAATCAATTGTTCTTATTTTTGCTTGAATACATGGACAATAACTCCATGCATAACTCTGCTGCCTTTGTGATTTATTGCTGAATTCGACATGGTTTTGATTGAAATGAAAAACAAAGGCGCCTTCTTGATTCACCCACTAAATAATTAGGCAGAAGATGACAGTCACTCTGAATTGCAGAAATTAAAAAAGGGAGTAATCATCTTTTCTTCCAACGAACAAAAAGATTTCCCCAAACTGTTCAAAGTCTCCATATATCTTCAGAAAACGACATAGGATTACTTATTTGATGTCAGATATTTGAGAGACATATTCTCAGCTTGATACAAATCTTCCAAACTTTCTGGAAAGAAATTGAAAGCTTTAGTAAAAATATCTACAGCTGGATTATTGTGGAAAGAAAAACAAAACAAAAGATGGTTGATCAAAATCTAAAGTGAATATGAAGCTTTAATTTGTCTCAATAGAGCTTTCAAAATAATACTGCTATTTTATCTGCAAAGAATTAGCTTTATGAGCTCCCATTCTTTTATTTTTCAAAGATATTTTAGATAAATAAATCAAAGCATTTTAATGTTGTGGATTTGTTTCAGAATAGAGTTGAACACACTCTTCCCCAACACTTGCACTTCCAATTTGCCACGTCTGCATTTTTGTTGTCATAATCGTGTGTAATAAATTGGTGTGGCCTTTGTAGTTACAAAACTAAAATGGTAATGAAAGCAGTTCTTTCTTCCCCCAATGAACAGGAAATTTGCATGTGAGTTTTCATATTGGAGCTAACAAGATTTTTCCTTCCTTGAAATACTGTTTATTTTCCCAACTGCAAAAAAAAAAAACAAAAAAAACATTCAGGACTCACAGAAAAACAACTTTAATTGTTTATAATGATCTTATGATTTTATTTGTGTATCATGTTGAGCAGTAAATAATACTAATGAGTATGAATGAACATTCTTCTTAATTAAATATTCCTTCAAGATGTAACATCTTAGTGTCAATGAAGTTGTGTTCTTTTATGTTCTCCAGGGTAAAAGTGGTGACAGAGTCGGTTTCTTCCCTGCCAACTTTGTGCAAAGGGTCCGACCCGGGGAGAGGGTCTGGCGGGTCATTCAGGGCTTTCCCGGAAACAGAGAAAAAGGACACATGGCAGTGAGAGAGTCGCAGGTAACTCAAATAAAAATACTTTCATTAGCTGCAATCTTAGAGACAGAGAAAGAGAGACTCATTAACTACAGGTGATGCTGAAGCTCAATCATGAGTATTTAAGGAGAAAAGAAACAGCTAAAAACTTTTTTCCCCCCGACTATTTTCCTCTGTTGTAATCTGAGCACAGAGTTGTCCAAAGTGTTCAAAGCAGTCTCACTGAGCTCAGAAAATGAGACTGGGCATCAAAATCAGCATATCTGGCTTTGTTGGTAGTAAAGCTTCACATAGATCAAACATTTGTCTCTTTTCAGTAGGTGTTGGTCAGAGATGCTGCTTTAATCACATGGAGAAGAGGGAAGGTTCTGAAAAACTTTGTAAAATGTTGCAAAATATTATTTAGGATCCTCCAATTAACCACTAAATGGCAACAATACTTATTAAGGATGTCCTTAAACCACAACTATAACAAGAATTAGAGTAATAATTTGGAAACCAAAAAATTATGAATAATTAAAATGAAAATATATTTCTAAAATGACCCAACTTTGTAGGTTTGTTTGATAGAAAATGAAGATGAAGCTAAAGGTCTTCCGGTCTGTGAGCATTAAATGATCAGAACATTACCTTCGAACTAGCATAATGGATTTGACATTCTGTGCTTGACCTGAGGAGAGAATGAATAATAATGTCACGTGTGTTGGAGCCATAAATGCACTACACTACCCTCATAATACGTGATTCCAAACATTCACTTAGAATCTTCCTGAATTCGTATTTTCCTAATTTTTGTTTCCTCTCTTCATTTTAGATTTGTGTTGGGAAGAGAGAAGAGGGGGAAGCTTTTCTGAAGCTGAGCAGTGGAAAGAAGAGAGGCCTGGTCCCTGCCGACTCCATAGAGGAGATCTGAACATTACTTCACTTTTACACTCCGACTCAAACTGTCAGCCCCGCACTCTGCCCCGCTCTCTGGAGAAATGACCATATAATCCCCTGCAACCGCACAGAAAAATACACACTCCTGCCAAGATCCGACGCCACCGTCTCTGACAAACATTTGTTTTCTCAGAGCGTTTATTAACTGCTGTCCTGCACCAAGGACTGTGATTGACTCAACATCTTAGACAAAGGGAAGCAGAGGTAAATGTGGCTTCAAATAATTGGATCGCATTCAGTTTTGCCTGTCAAAAACCCTTTTCCAACTGTGGGAGGATATTGAATCCTGTTATGGGAACATCATGCTTGTGTCAGTGTCCTTTTTCTTGCTTCTACCCACTCGGTGTGTCTCATCACTATCTGCTCATTTCAGGGCTTTTTTCCCTTGGGGCTGTTATCATATATTGTTACTGCAACTACAGACTCTTTTCAAGGAACAACCACTGCCATCCACTGAAAGCTACACTGCCACTAGAGAAACTTTCTGATGAGATGGAAGGAAGTCATACAAATTTAAAGTCTGCATCCGACAGTGCTTTAACTGATAAATGTAAAAATGTAGACTATGAATCAATTTTTTAAGAAAAAGTGAAGGCTCCAACGACCTTGTCACAGAGGTTTAAATCTGTATTTTCCAGTATATAGAAATATTTAAAGTCAAAGAATTGCATCGAGTGAACAGGGGTGTCCAAAGTGTGGATCAGGGGCCATTGGTGACCCTTGGACTGACTTTTTGTGGCCCCCAACCAGAGGTCACGCTAGACTTTTTTGTTCTCTGTCATCTTGACCAACAACATTTTAAAAAATCAGTCATGTACAATTTTTACCTGTCAAATTGTAATCATATAAACATAGGCTATTTAGCATTTTTATGTGGTTTGGTTAATATTCACCAAGGAGAACCGTGAATCCAGATTCCATCACACATAAAGCAGATAAATGCATCTAACTTTTTCTCCGTAGTGACAAAAATCACTGACTGTGGCCCCAATAACTTACAATAAGTAAAATTAAAGACTCCACTTCAATTACAGTCACTTTTCCTGCTGGGATCTGAACTCACAGCTTCATAAATTCCTCCTGGTTCATCAGTCAGTTGGATCCGTCTGATCCAAATCAATTCGATTAACGTGACCTCTGCCCCCAACTGCAGTTCAAGAATGGTACAAATTCATTTATTAAACATCCTCTTATAAATCAGGGTATGGTTTTCTTGCTATGGAAAATGCTGAGTAAAACACAAAGTATTTTGCAGCCAAAATGTTATAAGAAGAACCAGGTCTATCTAGTGGCTTTTACTGAGAAGCCGACTTTACCAAACTTTATCTTTACCTTTTCCAACCTCAACTTTTATTTCGTATCATCTTGGCTAAGTGTAGCAATCGTTTTGAAAGAATGTGACCCAGATCATTATTTTATTACAAAGAATACATTTTTTCAACTGAGCCTAAAATATTGTGCAGAATCCTAGTTATCCCACTCTTGGGTCTACGACAGATTTTTGTTGTTCTTTTAATTGTATATTCTTTGCCCCCAAGTACTTCTGACATGATGAATTTGGTCCAACTTACAAACATTTTGGACACCCCTGATGTAGAAGGAACAGTCAGTATTTTGAAGCTTTTTGTGAGCGTGGAGAAAGGAAAGAAAGGTGTCAACAAGTGTGGAAGTTCAAAGCGGAAGACGCTGTTCTGTTTTCACACACCAGCTCGCTGCGCACATGAAGGTTTGGCGCCTGCTGAGATTCGTTCGAGGTCCGCTTCAGGCATCGCAAGCACTGCCTGCCGATTTCCTTTTTTTTTCTAACAAGTTTACTGCTACTGAAAACAGCAGGAAATAAAACACACCTGCAGCCAGCCATTGCAGAAAATAAAAACAGCAACATTTTAAGGGTCTCTCTGGCTGTGACGAAGAGCCTAAGTTTCTCTGACGGTGCAGAGGAGGAGGCGGCACAGCGAGAGAGATGACACGAGCGCTGAACCGTTATGAGTCAGCGTGCTTCGAGGTAACACTGTACCCATGGGTGCATGGGAGTCATCCATTGATCAAATGTCAGCCCGCCTTCCTTCCCTCCCAGTTTGGCCCTTCTTGTCTTCTTGTTATTGATGTGACTGGTCAGCTGTGATATCGAGTGAGCACATTTTTTTTTTTTTTTTGCTTGAATCCCAGAGCACTTTGGATAGTTTAGACATCTATAGTTAATTTATTCATTTTGCAGCTAATCTAATGCATTTTTTCAGCCAGGACCCCCCTTCCACCAGCAGGGGAAACATACAGTTTGCATGTCAAAGACAAAATGACTTGAAGTAGAGAATACATTAGAAGTCATATAAAATATTTATCATTTAGATGAAAGAACAACTTTCTCATCTGCATTTCAAAACTTTGAAAAGGTCTAATAAATAAGCATCTTCTCCTGTAAAAAGTAAAAGTAGCATTTATTTTTTTCCGTTTATCACCATTATCTATGTTGTCAAACAAATATTGCAACTTTACCATGAAATTCTCCATGTTGTTTGTGTCTTTTTGTCAAAAAGCAGCATTGTCTTAAAGAATATCTGCAGCATCCTCTTCAGGAATTATTAAAGATGTGTAAAAAGCCTTAAAATTATGATTTTTTAAAATTTAATAGGATTTAAAAATAGAAAAATTGGTCCTTTATTTTAAAAACAGTAGAGTCAAATTAATTAAGAATGACCACAAATGTTACAATACTGAGATAAATGACTATTCAAATTCATTTCAATTAATTTAAAAAGTATGATGTTAATGAAATTTAATCCTTTAAAAAAATAAGTTCTCACTTTTTTTTATCCGTGTCTTCGAGCACCATTCAAATGAAGTGTTGATCTCCAGGATATCGTTTTCTGAAAGCAGCAGCTGGTTTACACTTACTCATATCTGTGGTCAGAACAGTAATTAAAGAAGGCACAAACACATGGGACTGTGTTGTTCCAGGACCCAAAAACCAAGATGGTAAAAAAACAGAAAAGGGTAAAATCTTGGTGGCCTGGAGTCTCCAGATTAATGAGATGCTCTCTGTATGCCAGTCATCTGTTTGTAAAGTTTCTTCACATTACTAGGACTTGAACCCCTTAACTGACATCCTAAAAATGCTTACATGTAATGCAATGGGTTCATAAAGGCACCAATGTCATCATCACAATTAGAAGGTTAAATAGATCTGTGCCTTGGTCCAATGATACTGAAGCTACGCCATTCTGAGGTTGGATTAAAAAAAAAAAATTAAAGTACCTAATATCCAATGATAAGTACAGTGGAGGATCTGTGATGCTGTGGGCAAGTTTCTGTTCATGCCCACAGCATTCCACAAACTATTTAAAATACGCTATTCAATATGCTGAATAAAAAATATCAGTTATGGATCTTATGTTACCACATACGAAAAGTCTTTCTGCAGGAAAAGATCTGTGCAAATTAAAGAAAAAAAAACTAACTAAATTAAATGCTTTCTATACATCTTTCCCAAGGGTAACAGTAATCATGCAGAGGGCTGTGCAAAAGTGTAAGCTAACCCTGATATGTACCAGCACCTTCTTGTTACTTTACTCTGCGTAAGTTTGTGTCGCATCGCACTTCTGAGGTTTCTAAATGTAAAGTAAGCATCTGGTGTCTAGTGTCACAAAGTCAATGTTCCTCAACTTTACCTCAATAAAATGTCTTTTCCACAAAGTTGTGGGCTCATTTTCTGACGCACTATGCGTACAATCGAGGGACAGATACTCATGCTTGATGATCTTTTGGATCCACTACACAGAAGGCAGAGCTTCTGGTGTTTTTCTGCTTGTGTGTTTGTGCTAAATGAGGCCACTTCTCTTTTAGTGCTGTCCATGCATAATGCACCATCCTGCAGCCACAAACTCACATTGTTGTGCACAGAGGAATGCCAGACTGATGCTCAAGACATCTGCAGTATAAATAGCACATAATGGCACTGCAGGAGGGAGTGTAATTAAGGCCTGTTTACCATGTTACACACAGCTACATAAATCAGAGAAGCGATAACATCTTTTACTATCAGCAGACTTTTGTTTTAATTATTTGGTGTTTTATTTCGACAATCAGGATTTTGTTATCAGTGTGCATCACAGTTTATATCAGAATTAAGAGTATTTTTATCTGCTGTGTTTCTTGTGTGTATTGAGGTTTAATACAACATTGATATTAACTTCCAATTGAAAAAAGTTTATTGTTGAAAGGAAACAGTAAAGTTATTTAATCACATAATAACTTACAGAATTATGAGCCTTTTCCACTGTATTTGGTTGCTTCGGAGGAACCAAATGCCATTATTTTTATAAATAAATACAAAAATATCCCAAATAAATACATTTAAGGACAAAACTCATGTCCTATTTATTTAAACTTTGATTAAGAAGCAACACTCCATTATGATATGGGAAAGACTGTTTGATATCTTGAAAGTTTATTTAATTTTTATTTATTTATTTGTAGGTAACTTTTGAGCTTTTTGCTGATTTCCTATTACAATTTTTTTTTTTTTGTTATTGTTGAGCCACTTAAATCTATGTCTTATTTTTCAGACATAGAAATATATACAGTATATACAAAAAACCAAAGCAATAAGTCAGAGTTCAAATACAAAGTACTATTTCATCCATTAACTAAAGAACCATTTGCTGAAATCTTGGCATGAGGTGAATGATTGAGTGGAGAAAGATGCACATCTCAGGTCCTGTGCCTGCAGTTTTTCTAAAAAATGGCATTTGGGTAATGTTTGTCCGATTAAACAGGAAAAGCTCAAAGTAAATTGATAAAAGTCCTTTAGAAAGGCTGGAAAACCATTGACCACTTTGTTGATTGCGATTCGTCTGGCTCTTTGGAAGCAAAATGTAAGCAGAAATATGAAGTTATTAAATTCTGCAGGGGAAGAAAACATGTTCAAACCACTCCCACATCTGAAAGTGTCTAATCATGGAATGCTTTCGTCATTATATCCCTCGTTCACTTACAATTCTTTTTGTTTTTCCTAAATAACTGGGAGAAATGGATCAAAGAGTTTCATTTCTTTTTGTTTTCTGTTTGCTCCCGTACAGATAACTTCTGTAAGGGATTATGTTTCAGAAAATCTAAGAAATTTTAATACAAGACAAATACAACCAGGATAAATACAAAATACAATTTTCAAATGATGATTAAAACAAACCTATACAAAGCAGGCTGGCCCCTATGTGAAAAAGTAATTGTCCTGTAAACTCAGTAACTGTTTGTTTACTGCTTGGGGAAAAGAACAGCCATCAAACATTTGTGATAACAAAGTCTTTGAAATTGCTGCGGAGGAATTTTTCACTCTTTGCATTATTATTTTCACTCCAGCCATACTGGAGGGTTTAAAAGCATAAAAACTTTAATTACGTGCCACACCATCTGAATCGGATTTACGTCCGGACTTTAACAAGGGCACTCAAAATCCTACGTTTTGTTTTGCATCCGCTCAGAGTGGATTTGCTGGTGTTCTTTGGATCATTGTCCTGCTACGTAATAAAAATGCGCTTGAGCTTAACGTTCTTTCCTTTAGGGAAATTTGTGGTTCAGTCAATTACAGCAAGTTGTACAAGTCCTAAAGCAGCAAAGCAGGCCCAGATGACCACCATTTGTTGATATGATGTCTTGAGGTCTGTCAAGATGTGTTTTTTTGGAACAAGAGCTAGGCCTTTGTGTTCTTTTTGGGAGTGATTTTTTTGTCTTTTGTGCCAAAAGGAAACCATGTTTGCCCAGTCTCTCTCTCTCTCTCTCTTTTTTTTTTTTTTTTTTGTAGAATCGTGAACTTTATCTTTAGATGTGTCAAGTGTGGTCAGCTTGCCTCAGATTTTGTTTTCAGTTCTGTTGTGAGATCTTGACTTTTTTGGTGATGTGTTCTTTGGTTGGAAAGGGCTGATTCCTGAGAACTACTGTTCATAGTTTTTCCGTTACTGGATAATGGCTCTCAAAGCCATAGAAATGGCTTTTTTTTTTTTTTTTTTTTTTTTGCACTTTCCAGACAGAAAGATGTCAATTACTTTATTTCTCACCTGTTGCTTTTTTTTTTTTTTTTTGACTGCTTTATTTCAGGTTAAATGAGAGTGATGTGATTCGACGTATAAGACTTGATTTGTATTTTTTCCCCTCTATTCAACAGAATAGTCAATGTTGTATTTACTATGGCTATCTGATAATATAAAATATATACAGATATAAAAATTTATTTGATGTGTTGGAAAAATTTCAATGTGTTGTACATATCAGTTCATGATATGTTGATATTTAATACGGACTTTTTCAGTTATTGTCTTTTGGTGCTGTGGAGTTGAACTCTTAGGAGTGAACAGCTTCAAAAACAGTAGATTGCATTTTGACAGAAGAGCTCGTTGGTTGATTTTACCACCAAGAGTGGCTGCTGCACACCTCTATTAGCACTTGACAGAACTACCCATCTGCTGTGACTCAGAGCACAGCAAGTCTTCTCAGCCTGATGAAACTTTGCCAGTGTGGGAGAAAGCTGAACAGTCCAATCTTTCTCTCCCTCTGCCAAAACAATCTCATTTAATCTTTCTCTGGCATGGTCCACCTCTCCATCGCTCCCTTCCTCCTTCCTTCCTCCGGTTTTGCAGACTTCGCTCACCAGAGTCTTAGACCCAATCACTGGGCTCTTGACTCTATTTCCCTTACCTCTTCCATCAGTTTCTGTCACTGCCATCATAACTGTAGTTTCTGTCATTACTTCTTATTAAGCTATTTTAAAAATCAACCCACACCTCACCTGACTGAATCATAGAGAAAAATAAGAGGATGCGATGAAGCTTCGTAGAGCGAAACAGCCTATTAATAATGACTCATTTCTCCTGGCAGCTCAGCCACAGCTTGGCCATAATGTCCACTTACTGAGGTAGTAAACGGAGGGAAATAATGAAGGCCTGGTGTAAAAGTGGTCATTTATAAAATTTGGTTACCCATCACACCGGCTGACCCGACACACACCCTGCTTGTGCTCCTGTATAATAACTGTCTGCCATCATTATTCATGCAGTGTCCCCCGCTGTTGTTATTACATCCTCAACCTTTCGAGTTGCCTCCCAGAGAGTTTCAGGACTAACATCCTCAGCAGCTCAGTGCAGGTGAACACTGAACCACAGAAAGAGAGAGAGAGAGAGAGAGAGAAAGAGCATCAGCTGCTGTACTGAACACGTCCATCCCATTTATCTTTCATCCGTGCTGATCAAAGGATTATAACTCATATCCCAACAATGATGAAGACAACACTTATGACGACAATCAAGCAAGCCTATGTAAGAGAACACAAAGATATGCTTAAAAACCTTTATATTTACTTTAACTACAACTTCTACACTTTTTTTTCTTCTTTTCAAAGAGCTTCACATATCTGGAATGGGAGAACATGTATTTTGTGGAATACTAAAGGAGACAAAATATCAGGTTTAAAGTGGGCTACTTGTTAAATTGCCTTTTCTTGGTAAATACAACACCCTCTCATCCATAAAGTGTTAGATCCTGTTATAGCTAAATATTTAATAGTTTGGAATGGATGGAGTATCAACCAGAAATGTGTTTGACAAGGATCGTATTCTGAACTGAAAATGAGTGGAAAACCAGCCAAATGCTTGTGTTGTTTCAGAAATATTGTGCAAGGAGGGGAAAAAAGAAAACACCTGAAAACAAAGCTTTGAAGAAATGACTGCCTTTTACAACAAATTCTACAAAAACATTTTTTTTCCATTTTAATTAATTAGAAATGAAAAAGATATCTGATTTTGGACTGTAAGCATGTCAAAGGATGTTCTTTGATTTGCTTTTATTAGAATTCAGTATAAATCAGAGGAAGAACACAAATTATTTAATGCATGACTGACAATGATTTTTAATTTTTGTCCTCTGTCATTCAATTTAAAACTACAACAAATATTATGGAGCACTTTTTTTTTTGCTGGTGAAAGCTTCAAACATTGTGTGGTTTAATTCCTTTTCATTTGTTGTGTATTCTTGTTTTATTCCTTGTAAAATGCCAATGGGTGTCTTGAAATGTATTTTTATTATGATTATAATTAATATTATTATTAATCAAGGCCAAATAGGCACAGATGCTTGCATGTTATTCCTTAGAAATAACAAATTAGCTTCAACTAGAATCTGCATCTTAGACCTCATATGATGTCTTCACATAAAATATAAATTACTATGCTCAAAAATGCTAAACATAAACTGCATTAAATATAATGCCTTCCACATATCTGACCAACCTTCATACACACACTATGCAGAAGCTCTCGTTCGGTTGATATTTTTTATTTGTACATAATGTAGTTTTCACACCTTCAGATTCTATGTAGCAGAAGAAACACATGCAAACAAAAGCAGCTGTCTAGAGAATCCAAAGGCAAGAAATAGAGGCAATTAAATGGATGGTTTTTCTAGGAATAGCAGGTAATCAGAGGCTTCCAACATGAAAATATCCACTCCCACATGAAATGACCTGTCCATGATACTGCCTGATAGAAATGTAAAGAATTATTTCCTCAGTGTTGGAAACAACATACTATTATCGCTTCTTTGTCACCCACACAGGGAGCAAATGTAGTGCAATAAACTGTCCTTTACTTCAAGCTATATGCAAATGACGGTGCAGTTACAAAGAGAGGCAAAAGCAATT